GGTTTCTTCTTTCGAAGCATTACTTACTGATAGAATTCTATAGATTAAGTTGTAATGTGGCTACTAGTCTGAAGGATTAGATATTACGTTCATTATGCTGAGATGTTAAATTGTCGGAAATATATGTAATAATTTATTTACAATAAGCACAAGTTACATGAGGCATGTCATTTTACAAGTGAGATCAAATTGACATTACAGTAAACTGATAGCCAGGTAATTTATAGTCCTGAGATGATTTCATATGAATACGAAGATTCACGTTACTGACTAATACAGAAAGTTAAAACGAAATAACAACTCAGCACGCTTTACACTTTCAATTCTTTCTCCACTGTCGATCAGTGGTGAATGTATGATTAAAACTATTTTTAGCTCATAGCAACTTTCCCAATAACCATTTCAGCTGGGTGACGTAATTTATGAATAAACGACTCTGGAAAAGTTTCCTTCACTTCTTATTCTCAAAGAGTTTGAATGATAAATAAAGGATGAAAGTAAGAAATATAGTAAGTCATTAATTTGACTTGAAATAAAAAGTTTGTTTGAGTTGGAAGTACGGGGGGGAGGGAAGAGTAAAAAGAATGAACGAATTAATTAGTATTAGGTAGGATGAAAATGTTTCTGAAAATTGAAATATACGAAAAATCATTGTAAAAACAAAATTTGACTTTTTATCATGATTAGAAAGATTTGAGTTATCCCATTGTTAAATGAATTCATGATCAACAGGATAACTCAAACCTTTCTAATTATAATAAAATTCATTAGACAAGTAAGTCGTTACTTAGACTTAGTAGTTCAGTGCATAATCCACTGACATTTGAAGCTAAATGTGAATATCAACATCAAAACATAGATATACTCAATTCATGAGTTTTAAACAAGACTAAATGTACACGTTGCTGGGTTTAATGCTAGTCGTAATCTTTTTTTAAAATAAGAATTCAACTTCGTTTAATCTGTAAAAAAGTGGATTGTTTTATTTACTGTTCTATTAGTTAAATATGCGAACTGAAGTCGTCAGGAATTTATTCCAATAAAGTTTAGGATAAAATAATTTTATCTATTTAGGAATGTTCTTCATTTATGAAAATTGTTATATCCGAAGGAGATTAGATTATGGGTAACTTCTGGGAACTAATTATAGACTATTATATATATTGCTTACGGCTGTTACCCTTCGTGGATGAGCATAGGCCGCCCACCAGTTCTGGTTAGCGTTTTTTTAGTGAGGTAGGTTTCTACGGGATGGGGTCGCTAACCCCATATATATATATATATATAACTGCTAAGTAACTATTACATGTATATCCATATTCCTTTTATTCTAAGTTTTATTTTGACCTATTGACTACTATTATGCGATTTACTGTTCTTAAGTTATTCCCGATTTGTTAATTACAGTATCTCACAATCAGACTTTTTGGCCTGATCTTCTATAATTGTTATTTTCTATTTTATGTTTTGATGCGGTTTGGTTTGCTTGTATATAAACCAAGTATGTTTGAAGTATATGATTCGTATAATGGAAGCTGATATTAGTATTCTGGACTCAACACGTAAGGATAAACAGGAAAAAGGAGTAATAATGACTCTAGGCTGCTCGTACTGGTCAACACGTCATTGGTTTGGCACTGTACTAAATTGTATAAGTCGTGTTCTGATAAGCGATTTTATCACGTGATAGTTAACAGGTCATAAGACATAACAGAAATGATGTACAAAATATCACTGCAAGTCATTAGAAGTCAGGTTTATCATCTACCTTGTTGATTTTCTAAAACCTTCAGTACATCAGTAATCATTTGAACGGTAAATCCGTGATAATGAACGACAAGAGATTGCACATGTTTTGTATTCTTATTGATACAGGTAGTTGACCATAGTCATGTCTTATATTATTTACGTTTCTTTCCAAAACATTTGATGCAGTTTAAAAAAAGCTGTTTCCTTCAATCTCTTATCCTTATATACAAATGTCACTATTTAGTGAATCTATGTATTTATTGAACAGATAACATACATGTTAACAGACAGAGACAAATATAAATAAAAGAATCTACCAACTATTCTATGAATTTGTTTATGATTAGCAAATGAAAAAGACAAATGCTGTTAGTGATAAATAATTAAATATTACAATAAGATTTTGAAAGTTGCAAATGTAGTACCTAAATTCACTTGGCATTGTTTACTTGAATCTTCTCATTGATGTTTAGGATTGCAATTGATCAGTCACTTATTGGCATATGTGCATATTGTGTGTATTGCCCGAACTCAGAAGCATTCTAAACAAAAATGGATAATGGCTAACAGTGGAATCCAAGACACGCGTTTCGTTCAATTCGGGACTCGTCATCTGGATGCACCTACATCCTAAATTTGATGTTTATCCTGGGACTCGAACCCAGTACCGTCCGTTTCAAACGTTATTGTACAGTCAAGTGGCTATCAGGACTCAGTAGCTAAGTGGATAACGTGATGGTATTTAAAGCGAAAGGTACTGGGTTCGAGTCCCAGAGTGAACATCAACTCTGAGATGAAGGGACATCCAGCTGACGAGTCCGAAATAAAACGAAACGCGTGTCCTGGATCCCACTGCTAACCACTGACCATCTTTGCTGAAAATGTAATGTCTGTTCTGATATTCTCTATCTACTAACCCCTTCAATATTTGTCAATTAATTAGATATGTTCCTAGGTGAAATAATAAGGTATATCTATTGCACAGTTGTACCATATTTTCGTTTGATTCAGTGTTGCAAGACCTCTATAGTAAAGGACTAACAAGGTTTTTTTTATTATTGTATAAATTGTTAAAATACAATTAAATTAATGCAACAGGGCAAATACTAGCACGGATTACATCCGAATGTCAATTCAATAACTACTACATGGAGATTGGGATAAAAACATTTATAAAATCATGTTATTGAGATGGTTTATGAAAAACAAAAGGAAAAACTAACACCTCAACAACACTAAAACCCATATTTCAATCAATTTTTTTCTCATTAGATAATTGGATTTCACTCACTTACTGGGATAAATCTATGCAAACTGATCATTAAGAAAAACTGCCTTAATTACAGATAATACTAGAAAAAATCAGACTGTTTCTACTATTCAAATGATTAATTCAATTGGTAACTTATTTGACTATAAAATGATTTCAAAAACAAGTAATGGTTCCTTGTAAATTATCATTTTGTCATTCGGTCTCCTTTAAATTACAATGACCTTACGTTACATACTTTCATGTAACGTTTAATAATTGAAACGTTCTTTTAGAAAGTGATCTCTAGTATCTTCATTCATAGATCATTAGCGGTCACTACATAATATATTTAGGCAGTTTGAAACTATAAAACATCATGCGAATCATATGATAGGGTTATACGAAATTTACTATTTCTAAATAAGCATAAAACTAAATATACCACTAGAAAAATGACAAATTAATGTGATACAAAACCGTGTGAATCTGAAATTAGTTATTATTAGAAATAAGAATCTCTCTACATGGAGTAAATCTAATTTGCATTGTTGTATCTTGAATATCAAATGATAATTCAGTTTTAACATTGAAATATAATTAACTTTACTAAAAACAATAAGTTATAAATTACAAAACCAGGTATGTGATTAATGATTGTTAGAAAGAATAAAAAAAGGGAAACTGGTAGTGTTATAAATGTTAATAATCTTAGCTACTATGATAAGTTATTTTTGTGATTTAAAATAGTCTCATTATAAGCAAAGATGAATAGTGGCTAGCAGTGAAATCTAGGACGCGCGTTTCGTCTTATTTGAAACTCGTCAGCTGGATGTACCTGCATCTCTAAGTTGATGTTCACTCTGGGACTCGGACCCAGTACTGTTCGCTTCAAACGTCATCGCGTTATCCACTCAGTTACTGAGTCCTGATAGCCACTTGCTTGTGCAATGAGGTGAAGTTTGAATTCACTCGGTATTGGTGGTTTGAATCTTCCCATTGATATTTAGGACTGCAATTGATCAGCCTCTTATAGGCATATGTGCATACTGCCTCGATATAGCCTTAATTCACAAGCATTATAAGTCTTCCTTACTTTAGTTGTTCAATAGAAATCCTTGAAATAGATATAATTTCAAAAATATAGCTTATTGATCTAAGTATACTTGTAAGGGCACGTAGTTTATGCTTCGATCAATTAAGTTACGATTACATTTTTATCCAAGTTTCCTAAATAGTGTACTACTAAGTTCTGTATAAAATTTGTTTGATCACTAGGTATCTGTGATACAGCTGTAATATAAGTCTACCGAACGACATACGAAGTTGGAGTTAAAAGTTCAGCAAGATATGGTCAACACCTAAAAAACTCGTGATCAATGAACTTTGATTTTACTGGGCTTGCAACAAACTGATTATACTAGAGTGTTTGTACTGTGCTTATGGTTTGGAAAAATTGCAAATAATAACTAAACAATACTATGCATTAGACTAAAAGATGAATCAAGAAACTACTGTTGGGATTCTATGACAATTTTTTAATAAGATGCCCCAACGTCGGAAAGAAACTGAAAACATTTCGTCCAATCGTAATGTTCCATGAACATTTCTTGAAAATTGACGGACTATGTATCAAATTCAGACTGGATGACCAATTGCTCGATTACTTAATTTAGGATGCTTCCAGAGTCTAACGTTATCGATAAAGTCCTAAATAAACGGACCTTGAAGTAAGGCTCCTACACTTACGTTGAGACTTTTAGCTGTAGTCAGAAGATCGAGTCTAGGAGCATTTGAGGAACTTAGGAAGCAGCTAGGATGTTGGTATCAAGTGTTTAAGTAGAAAATATATCAATTACTAGAGGGTTTTAGGACAACCGTCACACATAACTTGACTTCCATTCATATTCAACGAAAACTATACTGATAACTAGGGACATTTGTAGATGCACTTATGGCCATTTGAACATAAACGATGTGAATTTGCTTTTTTTTATTATTTAGACTAAATTTCCTTGTATATTAACTAAGAAAAATTCAGTGAAAAAAAAGGAAAATCTATTCACATTGATAAAGGCAGATATAACCATCATAAAATTACTGTTCGTATTTATTTTTTGTATGTCCTAATTTGTTAGTTGTGTAGTTGACAAAACCAATGACAAATAACGGTGAGAAACGGATCTAAGAGAAAGCATGAAAATGGAAAGCGAAAATGGTCATCATGATTATTATTATTATTACTATCATCATAAAGGAACGAAGCTTTCATACTTGTTATTTTCTTGATTATTGGTAGAGTCGACAGTACTTTATATATATATATCAATATGATTGTTAACATGCAGAGTTAATTATTGTAAATGATAATATAAGACTACCATTAATCCTTTTTCCACGTACCCAAAAAGCAGTGAAGAGGAATAAAGAGAAAAAAGTGTTGGAAAAAAGCCATATGGAAACATGTAGACTACTAGTTACTTAATTGATTATTACGATGTGTGGTACCGATTTGTAATTTGGTCAATTGTTGTTAGCCTAAGACGAACAAACGAACGAATACACAAATGAATTAAAACCAAACTAACTGAAACCATAATTTCTTTAAAGCAGTTCATTATTAGAAAAGGGTGAAATATAACAACAGAAGAAAGCGAAAATGCACATGTATTGTTATTTATTGGGAAATTCACAAGTTGGCTGCTTATTATCTTTTTTTTCGTAATCAATGTAAATGTATCATCGTATATATGTATAGTGTTGTAAGCTTGAAATGATGGAATAAAAATGAATCAAAAACAAACAAACAAACAGAGAAACGAACGAATACATAAATGAACTAACTTAGTGATTATTTGAGTAACTTTACAAAAAAATAAAATAGAATAACTATAGCGATAATAACAATAATAACATCCTAAAACTGAGGATTATTATTAAAATATTTCAAGAATAATTAATGCTTCCGATTTTTTTTTTTGAAAAAAAGCAACAGTATCAGCAATAATGTGGTGATTATTTAAAGAAGTTATCTGTGTATATGTGTGTGTTGACATTCGAACCGGAGGCAAAATAAACGCGCTTACATATTTATAAAAAAGCTTCCGAAACCAAAGGACTTAAAAATGAGGCGGATGTTTAGAAATCATACGAAAATGCGCTCGCGCGCTTATTTAAAGCGAAAAGAAAACACGGTCAAGTTAATTGCTTGTGTACTTTGTGAGCTCAAATTATGAAGCTAGAATAGTGAGTGATAAGGGATAGTCACAAGTTATTTTTACTACCTCAACAAAAGTACCACAAGCACATTCAATAAAATATCAACTACTTTTTACGACCTAAAGTGAAAAACTTTTTCTTCCCTGTAGCAGAAGAGCTACTAGCTACTTGAGACTCAGGGGCAACTCCAGAAGGCAAAGTGGCAGCTCGTCCTCCAGCAGATGAAGAAGACTCTGTTGGTTGCCCACTAGCACTTGATGCCACTGCATTAATAGCTTGAACCCAGCTATGCATATCTTCTTCAGAATGTGCTTGAAATAGAGATTCACCTCCGTTCGAAAGTTTGAGACGGAATACAAAACGGCGTTTGGCGTAGTTGTACGCAGGTGCAGCGGAAGCGCCCACTAAATTAACAGGGAGTTCATGTCGATATAAATCTCCAGGCCTTTCTTTGGCATGTCTTTGCTCTTTATAGGCAGAAAGTGTGAAAGACGTTGCGGAGAGGACAAAATACAACTCATGCCAAGAGCGAGAAGAAGCTTTCTTGGTGCCTGTTTCCCATTCATGTTTACGTGTTAAGACACCTTCAAAGTCACGAGAAACAGGTTTACCAACATCAGAACTTCCTCGTCCATGTCTTGGAGTGGTTACCGTTGGAAGACGACTACTACCTTGTTCAGCATCTCTGATATCCACAGCACGCCTATCAACTTCTGAAACAGGCGTTTGTACAGGTACAGATACAGGAGGTGGAGGTGGATGGAATTCTTTAACAGCTTCAGCTATTTTCCTTTCTTTCTCCAATTGCCTGGCAGCTTCGGTTTCTGGAGTTCTTTCACGCGCTTTCAATTCAAGCTGGAAATTAAAAAAAAATTGGAAAATCACATAAATGTTAACTGGGGTAAAGTTTATAAGGGAAAGGTGATAATTCCTTAGTAATTTAAGAATGATGATTAAACAGCATTTACAAAATTTATAACCCTTCTAGTCACAAACATCATAACTGAAGATAGCATAAAGATTAAAATGTCGCCAACAAATTTATTGAAGGAAATGATAATTAGAACTTACAGTTGTAAGTTTCTCTAACTCTCGGAAACGTTCTTCTTGTGTAGCGGCTGCACGTTCAAATGCAAAATGCTTTTTCAACAGTGCTAAGGTTTCATCCAACGTTTCACCCAAATCAGTGTTATTAAGATAAGCTTCTTGTGACGTAAGCCAAGTATCTGCTATTTCAGCGTCCCGAGCAAACTCATATACCTCCATAAGAAGACTTAATGTTTCCCATCGCTCCGCCCATTGGTCATTCAGCAAAATTTTTTCAGTTACCAACTAAAACAAACGTAAACAGAAGTCATATAAAATATAAAGAAAAATATAAAGCATCGAGATAAAGTGGATAAGATCGTTAAATATTGATAGTAAATCACCTGAATGCATTTGTTTCTGACTTCTTCTTCTTGAGGATGTCGACGATTTAGAAGAGTTCGACCTAAACTTAAGCAAATGCTGAAGTTTTCCTCTCGGGCATCTATTTCAGCCATTAGGCTACGGTGACTATTCATCAGTAATTCAACTCCGGATACATCCCTAAAATATGTAACACACACATTTACAACAATATAGTACACCATTAAAAAAGATTATAAAATAACCAAACAATTGTACAAATACTTTATCTAGGAAATAATCGGTTATTGCATTAAGCAAGAGTACATTCCACTGCTAGTTCACAGTTTAAAATATACTATTCTACTTGAATAATTCTATGAACCAACTGAAACAAGCATCGATTGGATCATCTGAACAGTTGTTTTTTCCTCACATCAACTAAACAACTCATCTACAACAAATACACAAACGATATTAGTTATACATTTTTACTAGCCAAACTACTGGGAGGGTTATCCATTGACTTTTAACGTGTTAAAACTACTAATAAACTATGAACGTTTTTACTATACTCTAGCCTGTTTAAGATTACAAAAGAATTTATTTGGGTGTCGATACAATAAGAATTAAACAGATAAGCTTTCCCTATCCTACACTAACGCGGCAGATAGTGATTGGGATGAAACGAAAACCTGACTGATACGCAAGACGTGTACATTAATTAGTGAAGAACCTGATCAGCGGTGTTAATTACGAAATTATTGAAAGTTAAAGCTGTATGATATACGAAAAGTATGATCAGTGGCGAAAAATATAAAATACGTCAGATGATATGAAGTTTACAACTAACCTTGGCTTTTCTTTCGTAGTCATTTCCATACGAATAGTGTCCATCCACAAGCGAAGTTCACGTACCATGGAGAAGAAACGATGGACATCAGAGGCATCATGTAAGCGTGCTTTACGTTGTTCCGCAGAACATTGTAGTTGTCGCCAGGCATGAATAACTTCGTCCCGACGATCACATATAAGACGCTCTTTATCTGCGGCGTACGACGGTAGTAAGCTATTAGCCGCTTCTACGATTCCTTCCACCTATTGGAGAATATAAAGGATGATATTATTAACTATTTAACCATAGAATGAAGACTTTTCTGTATTACATATAAGTTGTGTTTCAGCTAATGTGGTGATATTCATATTAGAATGAGAGACCGTCAATATAAATACATTAATCGTAAAAGCTATTCAAAACTTCATCACTGTGATGTCTGAGAAGAAAATTTCAAAGTTGAACCTCATGATACTGGGTTATAGTCAATTAATTGTTATATATAGCGAAAATGGAACTTACTTAGTTCAAATGTTAGAAGGTAGATCAGACAGGAAATCATTTTCTCTTGTTAGCGATAATTGGGTCACTTTTAGACCATGTTTTATAGCTTAGGAATATTTTGTAAATAGTACAAGCTATAGGACCACAATAATTAGATTTGTGATTTTATGATGGGGCTTCATTCATATATAACCAGCAGTGTTAGAGGATAATTGCGAAGTTTCAAAGAAAAGAATTTGTGATTTTTACTAAACAGTTTACTGTTACTGTACCATTGTTCATGATTACCCAATCAAATTACCAATAACAACAAAAATCACATCACAATAACTACGATTTAAAGGTTAATTTCAAGAATATGTTTTTTCTCGACATATCTACTCATAGTATTACAAAAATAATAAAGAACATAATTGATGCTTGTTAGCCATTGCACTGATGTGTTTACTGTGAAAGATAACCAATAAATTATCTATAAGATAGAGGAATAGTGTTACACCTAGAGAAAATTAGTCGATTAATTCGTGGAAAATGTTCATTTGAAGATCTTGTAATCATGACCACTTCTCGCTCGGTGTATTTAGGTTATGAAACGCATCATTCTTGTGAAGAATGAAGAAATAACAAACACAAAAACAAGTCCACTTACTCGTGATCCAAGACGTGCTAATTCACATTCAAATGTATTGTGTTTGCGTTGAAGTGCAGCGACGGCTTTAGCATCACGTCCAACTTCTTCTGGAATACTGCTGACTTTATCGACAATACGATCGAGAACATCCTATAAAAAATAAATAATGACAAACTTATTATCCCCTTTTTTGAAGAACTGATGCTGAACATATCAAGTATAATATCGAAAATATTCACGAAAGATAACACGAAATAAATCTGAGGAATATGTAAAGAGGAGAAACGGTAAGTGGCTTAGCTAGATCAAATGAAAATAAGTATGAGGTGAAAATAAGGTGCATAACACAGGGTGAAAGTGATTATTGGTCATTAGTGACTGAGCTTCAATACTCGATTAAGCAAGATTTATGTGGAGCTATAGAATTGTAGTTATGAAGAGAAAGACCTCTCTTTCGCACTTCCAGATTAAACACTACATTACATATTTGCATTGTTTACTTTTATGTGTATATTTTTTAGATCCTGATGAAAAATACTAGTTCGTGATTGAAATCAAAATATGAGAATCCACGAAAACCCAATAAGCCTTTTCAAAGTTTTCTTGACTTTTATTTGCTTAAACACGTAAATATTGGGACAAAGGAGCATCAAAATAAATGTTCACCACACAATAAGATTATAGAGAGATAAAGGAAGGTGAAAATAATAACAAACAAGAATAATATGTATAAAAATAGGTGAATAAAAGTAGCGAATAATGAGGAAAGCAATTCAGTTAGGAAAAACACAACCAGAAAGAATTCTTCCGGTTTAGGAAGTTTCTCTCACTTTTGTAGAGTAAAAGAGAGTTACAGCCAAACTTTCACTAGCATCTATTATGAACCATAAAAACATATACATCAATGAAATGGTGAAAATCTGTAATTAGTAGACTAACTCTTGAATTATAACCTCTAATTAATGTACATATATCTGTGAGAGAAGTAAGCTCTAGACTAACTAATAACCTTGCTGTGAAATTGAGATCGTTAGCTTAGTGTCTATTACAGACTGATATTTGAATAGGTAAAATTTGGACGGTGGGACTATAGTTTATGGGCGACATTTGAGAGACTCTAAAGTGACATTGAGAATATCCATCTACTTACTGGGGCTAAATGACGGTTATAAAGTAGTGTGAAGAGTAAGGATTACGATTTAAAGTTGATGGCTAGGGTTAGGAATTAGATTTAGGGTTTTCACCACGAACTGACATCAGCTAAAATGCAAAAACACTATTTAAATAAATGGGTGAATGAATTACGAGCCAAAATCCAAGATTTTTAATCCTAAATCTGATTGGTTCATCCATAAATTATAGTCTCGCCAATTTAGACTATTTTATCCACATGACTTATTCATCAGCAGTAAATAAATTATAGTGCAGTAACTTTAAACTAAATGAATAGAAAACATCAGATTCCAGAATAAACGCTATAATGTGACTTGTTAAAAAATGAAATGGTTGACAACTTAAACCAGATTCTACCATATTCAACAGCAATACATTCTTTTATTTCAGACGTAGAGAAAGAATAAAGTATAGTTACGTGACTAGTTCATGAGAGAAATCAAATCTTTCAAAATCTAATTTACCAATGTCGGAAAAAACAGGATATTTAGTAAATTCCATTTTTCTTGATGTATACAATGCTTGTATGATCATAAAAAAAAAGAGATTTAGGCGATAATTGTCTACGAGTAGTAAATAAGAGTAAACTATTTTTAGAAAAAGTCTTACTTGGCAATCTGCCAAAAATTTATGTAGATCCCATGCAGTTTTTAAAAGTTGAATACGTGTATCAATGAGCTCCAGTAGATCAGCCCATGCCTCATTAATTCGATCTTTCCAACTGGCGATTTCAGCAGCTTCGCTATGACCTTGACCAATAAGAGCGTTACATAATTCATTCGCTGCACTGATACGATATTTTCCAAGTTCATTTGTTTCCCGAGAAAATTCGGCGAAACGTTCTCGAAGTAAGCAACAATGTTCGTAATCAGCACCAACTTCATGACTACTTGCTACCAAGATACGTTCTGCAATCCAAGCCTAGAATAATATTATTAATAATAACAATAATCAGTCATCAAGGCAAATATATCAGCCAACTATTGACAACAGTTCGATTACGGAACGTACTGACTGACAGAAATAAAACTAGTAGAACATGACGCCATGTGACTAACCAAACACAATGGTGTTAAAACAGAGATCTCATATACTTGAAAGGAGTTCAAGTCCAACCACCTGATAAGATATAATCTGTTACGTGATCTACATAATTCTTTCGTATATTATTATCTGATCGATTCTTTAGACAGGCATCATTCATTAACACAAAAGTCAGATGGAAAAAGCTGAGTAGTTCAATTACAACCATAGAATAAAGAATAATTGTTTTAGCTCAGTTTTGTTGATGTTGAAGTATAAAGACGATAGATATTAAAATTTCCTCAGGATAAATAATGGTGCAAATTTTATGAAAGATATTTATGATGTACATATACTGAACAGTTTTTGTTACCCTGTGACTGATCGTATTTACTGTACAGCATAAATTGATTAAGTGGTACATTTATGTAGTCCAGAAATGAAAGGTTACTATATGAACAAATATACTGACATAGGAATTACGTCAAAGTCTAAAAAACTTATTACAATAATAATCATTGAAAATTACATAACAAGAAATGTGTATGAATGTATGCAATGATGGAATACGGAAAATGTGAATAATTGGTAAGATTTTTTATCGAGTCTTATCTGACCAACGGAGGGACAAGAGTGCTACACATTCCCATTGAACACAGAGATTAAGGTTGTTAGCTTGAATCCCTATAACTTCAGTGACACGCATGAAAGGAGATAAAGCCCTATTAGAAAAACTTGGTGGTATATCACTATGAATATCCTGGTTTTATCTACTACATGATCATTATCAACTAATTGTGATAGAAGGGAGCTGAGTAATGATTTTATTAGATCTGATGATCATCAAAAGATAAAGTATATTGACAGAATTGTCGAGAACGGTAGGACAGAAAAAAATGAACTCACCTCAAGATCCAAAATATCTCGTAAGAGATGATACAACTTCAGAATCTCATCAAGCCTTGCTCGGCGTTCACTACACAGGTCACGTAAACCTGCATACATCTTGTCAATGCGTGCCTGTTTAGCAACAACAGCTTCAGACTCTGGATGATTGGCTTCCAACAAAGCCTGGCATCGTTCACCCAATCCACGGATTTCTGTGGCATAGTTCTCCACAGTTTTTTGTAGTTGTTCATGCTTTTTGATTGCGTTATTAGCGCCTTGTTCATCCTGTAAAAATATTAACACATAAGATTTAGTTGAAAGATTATAACCTTATTAAATAAATAAGAAACAGTACTTTAAAAAATATAAGAGTAATGGAGATTCGATGCTAATAAAACAACAAATAAATAGGGAATAAAAAACTGACCTTTGCACGTTCATCGCCCATTAAGTAAAGTTCTTGCTCTCCCATCCAAGCTTCAGCTTCGCTCGCATCGAAAAGATACTGCTGAGCAACTTCATTTTGTGCTAATTGTTCTTGTCTTTCTCCTACCACATGTTGTAATTGTTCCCATAACACCCATAATTCATCTATGACTTCACGGAATCGATCGCTTCGTGGATGACCTTCAAGTATCATTTGTTCGCCTTCCTGATGGTAAAAAATAAAATAGAATTTGCATGAAGAGTTAGTATGAAACAAGTTTTCGACAAGTACCAATTGGTACTGTAAATAAATTAAAAATTATGAAACGATAAAAAGCTCATTTTATCAAGGAGTAGATTTTATAAATTAATACATGACTTTATTGTATGATACAACCTGTAATATTAGAGAGGGACATAAAACGTACCAAAATTAAGTTGTATAGCGATTCGCTACTTAAGATCCCCTTCTCAAAGGCCATACACGACAAATGATACTTTCCTTACTCTATTTTTTAGAAGTTAGCGCACATATTCTTTATAATGCAGTTTTTTCGTACTTCCAGTTTTTAAAGACTAATCGCCAGTTTAGAATCCTCAAATAACAATTGCATAACCTTTTGCAACTGCTGGTTGACATAAGCTCAGTAAAAAAATGTAGAAAATTTGAATGCTATTGACCAACTCATGAGATTTATGGAACTGGTAATGTATCTGAATATACGCTAACAACGAAAAGTTTAATGATTGTTGTCTGCTTGGTTGTTATTTTAATTTAAAATTTTTGATAGCTTATTGTTCGGCATACATTTGATTATCCCTTCAATCTTCTAGTTAAGTAGCTTTTTGAACTTCATTTACTGTTTCTTCTTAGTGTGTAGCAAATCAAAATTGGTGTACTATTACAGCTACTGCTATGTTGTTCCAGTTGATCGGTTTTCCACACCATAATGGAATACAAGGTAAGTATAGTAATCAACTCAATAATAAATGAACTGAAGAATTAGAGATAAAAACGATTAACAACTAATGAAAGAAATTAATATCTTACGTGACAAACTGCATCAATACGTGGACGATGATTATCTACTTCGTTAGACAGCATCCGGTGACGTCTTATGAGTTGTTGTGTGGCAAGTAGTGAACTTCCAAGTTTGCATGAGTCTTCAATAAGTGCCAACTTTTCTTTAATCCAGTCCTTCTCATCTTCAATATCTCGTAAGAATTGACGAACTCTCTTTTGTTTAACAAGGCGATCACGGCGATCAGCTAGAGGAGCCTCTAATTCAGTAAGACGAATACGCACTTCCTGGTGAACTTGTTCAAACTCTTCACGACGTTCAGGATATTGTTCTTTTAGTTTTTCTGCATGAGTCTAGAAATAAAATGCAAAAGTATATAAGCCATTGTAAGCGACATGCTTAAACATGGGATATATATTTTAGTTGAAATCGTTATTTAGATATTTCCCATGTGAATCTTAATACTTGATGCTTCAAATGCTCGACTTCCGATAACAGGATCAAATATAAAGATAAATAATTCAGACTTGAAATAGATTGGGTTTCCGATTCGGACTTCAATAGATGACTATTGTCCATTGGGTTTCTATATGGTTCATAGTGCAATAAAAATACATGTATATGAATACTGAGTTTCATTTACACTGTTACGGCAACATTCAATAACACATTATTCACCTACATGCGTTTTTTTTACCAGCGTTCATTGAGAATACAGACTTATTTGAGTCATTTAAAGGAATGAAGGTTTCATCACAGAGATCAAAATGTGGTATAAAGACAGAAAGATTTAGCCTATCAGCCTAACCACTTCTGTTAGTTACTATACCAATACCACAAAATTTATTAATGATAGTATTTGAATTAATGAAAATCACCCTGACTTGATACTAGTGATGTACAATGAAAGCATGATAATTATAAATGAGAATGTAGTCATTACTATTAGTACGATACCAACTCTCATAACAAGATTCTAATGAATCAGATATGAATATATCTGAGGATTATAAAGATAAAATTCGTTATGGAATACAGAAAATGTAACTTACCGCCATATCTTGAAGCATTCGGCGTTTGGCAGCCAATTCTTGATCCTTGCGTTCTTGGTCTTTGAGATGTTCATTGATTTCAACGAGACCGATTTCTTCAGTAACTTCTTCTGTAGTAGTAACTATTTGTGAGCTAACTTCAGTAATCCACGTAAGCATAGACTTAGCAGTTTCATCGAATAATGTTTCTACAGAAATGAAAATGTTTTAGCCATTTTAAAAAAAGATAATATTTATGGTAATGATGATAACAAAACAATAATAATGCTAACTACTCTCGAGGTGATCACTTACCCCTGTTAGCATCTGCCATTTTCGCGCTCTTATCAGCTGTAGTTGTGTTGAGATCTTCCCACTGCTTACGTAAAGCGGATATTTTCGGTTCGACTTGGACTTGAAGCATAGGATGGGCTACAATAAGCTCTTCTCCCTCCTAGAACAGAATAAACCAATATTTATAACGTTAGAAAAATGTTTATTAATAATTTTGATTTTATAGCTGATAAAGTCAACAATTTCACTGTAAATAAACCTTGTGATTTTATTTCCATAAAAAAATATAGAGCCTGTGTGTAGCTAGAACATGTTCAGATAACCCGGTAATACGATTGTGACCCAATCGAACAACCGAAACTCATTAGACATTTAAGTTTTAATTAACAATAGATTTTCTGAAAACTAGAAACATGAGCTATTGTGTGCTACTATTTGATTTATGAAAAACATCTATGAATAATTAAGATATAAAAGACATACTTCAATAACTTTGGCAATTTTCTCCTTGTTGGCATCAAGTTCGCCTTCAAACGCCTTAAATCGTCCATATAATGCAGCGATACTTCGAGCAATTGGTGCCGGTTGCTCTGTAATAGCCATAGCCTTTTCAGAAAGCCATTCTTCAGCCTAAAAATGTTGAAAACACCTATGTTTAAAAGTATGATGACTTACATCGTCAACGTCTTGACAAAATTCTTGTAGATGTAACTGTTCTTTGAGTTTTTGACCATGTTCATCTGCTCGCCTCTTTAGAGAGTCTCGTCTAAATAGAGATAATGGAATAGGATAAAACTAGTATGTCACACGAGAATCCGATAAGAATATAGACATGTATCTAGAGGTATAAACTTACCGTTGTTTAAGTTGTTCGCATTTATTTTGAATCTTTTCAGTAGGGAAAATTCCACGGTCAACCAGTTTCGCACCATCATTCAACACATTGTCAATCTTCTCATCAGTCGGCACTAGTGACGTTCGGAAGGTTTCGAAATTACGAAGATTTTCCTGTGCCATCTCTAGATTGGTCTAGTCAAGTGAAAACAAGTCATTATTTAGATAAAACTCTTAATCACTCTTATTTGAGATGAAGTTATGAATAAATAGTATAACAACAGTCAGGTGCCAGAATAATTACCGTATTATACGGAAGATAAGACAAAACCGTTGAAAAAAAGGTTAAAATATTTTGCATAGACATCATTGTAATGATGATGTGAGTGCACAATCCAAAGTAAGCAACTAAACTATGTGAAACGTTTTTTCAAGTTCCATTTCATTATTTTACTCTATTTATTTCAATGGGCTAGAATATGTATCAAATGAGCTATTAAATTAACTGGATTGATAATACTTCGGCATGTGTATTTGTGGTTATTCTTTCGGGAATTTCGGAATGTAATTATAAAGGTACAGCTCTGAGAATGGATTGAAAAAGATATTGTAAAGAACTGCGAAAAATAGACAGGCATAGGAACTTGAAATATAAATTAACTTACGGGAGCTTCTTCCTTGGAAACAACCTTCTCCATTTTTGCTAGAAGGACCTCCGCTTGCAAAGCGTCTCTAAAGAATGTCTGATATAATTAAAACATAACATGACTTGGGCTTACTTGGGCTTCAACACCTTCTTGTAATGCTGAGGTGCGGTTTTCATACATTCTTCTTAAAGCTTCCCAATTTTCTTCGATACCGTCTAACCGCTGGGCCAAAAACATGTATTGGGCATCTGTCTGAACTTCAGTCACACGTCTACCGAAATCCATAAGCCGATGAAAGTCACTTTCATATCCATCAATTTCAGCTTTTAACTGTTCATGTTGGTCTAAAAGGGTCTCCGCCTCCTAAAAACGTGAAGTTAGAAATAAGACACCACAACTAACCTCTAAATTATTTGGAACCTCTTCAGAAGCTACAGTGATTTGTGTGCGACGAAGCCAGATTTGGAAATGATCTAAATCTTGTAAGAAACGTTGCAATTCGCTTGAATCATTAAGTCGATCATCTCTTTCTTTTACGATCTCTTTCAGTTCATTCCATAAGTCGTGAATCTTTTCTTTTTCAGCTATAACAACCTAAAGAAATTCGTACATTACGTATTCCATAACTTACAGCTTGAGTTTCTGGTTTCGCTTCAGTAAGTTCTTGGGCTTGTTCATCCAAGTGCTTAACCTTAGCCTCAATAGCATTTAAATCGCGTTGTAACCCACCAAGTCTACGCTGAAGTTGCATAATACCCTCCAAGTTATTATCTAGTTCATCGGTCGATTCGATTAACTTGGCTTTATCTTTTATCCAATTCGCTGTTTCTGAACTTTCGATTAAAAATTGATTATACTGGTAAGATAAATCTAATTGTCTCTTTTGTTTATCAACAAGGTCAGCTAACTCATTCCATGATGCGTTAAGTTCATCTTGATGTCTTAATATCTTTTCAGCATCCGGATGAGCTTTATCTAACATTTCTTCTGAAAGTAGATTTACACTACCAACCTTTTTGGCGTTTCCAGCCATTTCTTTTTCGAAACATTCGAACCGATGTCGAATAACCTCCAATTCTTCAATTTCGTCACTTGGGACTAACGTCGTTAAAAGTTTTTCTTTTTCAGTTATCCATGTACGTACAGTATCTGAGTCATCAAACAATTTATACATCGAAAGAGCATCATTTAAACGTTTATGCCGTAATCTACATAATTCTTTTACTAAGGCATAATGTTGATCGACAGCATCTAAACGATGTGCTATAGCTGTGGCATCACTGTCTGGGTAATCAGAAACTCGTGATGCATCTTGATTAAGTTGAGATATTGTTTCTTGGTAGTTTTGAAGATTATCCATAACTTCCTGGTTGTTTTTCAGCAAAGACACTGTTGTGGCTTGCTTAAGGCCTACATCTTCGTTGCTAACAATGCGTTGTTGATCAGTCAACCAGACATCTGCATCATCACAGTCTGCCATTAGTTGGAAGAAATCCTGTGACTCAATTAGGCGTTGTTTACGCTCCGTTATCAAGTCAACTAATTGACCCCATAATTGATTCATTTCAACGATACGCTGGGATATTTGCTCAGCACCTTGATTTCCATCAGTAATAAGTTGTTCACCATGCTTCAATGCATCTTCTAAAACAGCTCGATGCATCTGACACTCTTCTTCAAGAGCTTTATGCTTGCGTAAAAGCCGACTCACTGAACTTAGATCATGTCCCAAGTCTGGACTGGACATAAGCTGGCTTTTTTCTTTGATCCACTCCTTTTCGTCCTCCATATCCCAGAAAAATTGCCACATTTCTCGTGAATCTCGAAGACCACGAAGACGAGCCTCTGCCAAGTCATGTAAATCATCGTATGCTGCACGTAATTTTTCAGTGCGTTCCTGAACTATTTCGGGTTCAATCGGTTTGTATGCACCCATATCCGGTGTAAATGACCCAACAATAAATGGGGTGGCCTGGTCAACAACTTGATTCATTCTACCACCGAGAACACGAATGTCAGCTTCCAATAAATTATGCTTTTGCAAGAGATCCTCAACACCCATTAAATGTTTACCATAATCCTGAGACTTAAGACGGCTCTTTATTTCTTCGATCCAATCCATCAAATAGGTCATTTCTTGGAAGATATGTTGTAACTGTAAACTTAGTTCTAGATGCTGGCGTCTAATGCTAAGTGAGTCCAGTAGATTACGCCACATGGCAAGTACTTTGTCCCTCCGTAACTGGATATTTTCATGAGCATGATAATTTTCTCTCTTCAGCTCCTCTGCAACATTGACCATAGCATTTACACGCTCTTCATATGCATATATATCTGTCTCTATGGCTTCATGCTTCTTTGTTGCAGCCTCAACAGCAGCAAGGTTATCACCAAAGAACTCTTGCAAAACGAGTCGCTGATTATCTGTAAGCCAAGTTTCTCGCATTCCAGCTTTGCGATCGAAACGAGAAGCAAGTTGTTCCAACTTCTCCTGACGTATAAGTTCATCTCGTACAGCTAATTCGCGTGCATGTTCAGCTCTTTCAAGCATTTCCCAGGCACGATTTATATCTGCTATCATTTTTCCTTCAGGTGGATTATATTGTCTTTGATTGTTGGCACGCATTTTACTGCGAATAGTGAAGAGTAAAACTTCAAGACCGCCTTTTTCTCTGAACTTGGGGGGTTTTTCGACGGTTCGGTAAGTGTTGAAGCCAGCTAACTGGTGTTGAACACCCGAAAGTGAATTGGCGAATGTACGGTCGTCTAAAAGCTTTATAGTTTTTTTAATCCAGTCAAGAAGATCAGAAGTTAATTGTTCATATTGATTAATCATGTCGTCAGTTTCAATGGCCTGGTTGACAACCTTACCAATCCTTTTCGAGTGCACAGTATCAGCTTTCATTTTGTTAAAGTAGTGGTAATATGTAACAACATAAGTAATAATAGACTTTTCATCTGGTTGTTCAACAGCCACGTCAGATGGTTCTAATAGAGGATGAAGATTTAATTTTTCTTCGGCAACACTGAAGGCAGTAGTCAGGTTTTTAATTGGCTCTGATTTAGACAGTTTGGAGTATTCAATTAGATCAGGTCGGTGCTTATGAATTAAAGCATTGAAAGCCAAACCATCACGCCAACTTGTCGTAAAGTTCCGAACATTTACATTGGGATAACCTGCAGTTTTCATTTGGCACCACAATAGCAAAGCGTCTTTAGCGCATCGAGTTTCACTTGTCTGATATTCTTCAACAATTATATCTTGGATTTGGAAACGCAAAATAATTGTCCAGATAAGTCCAAGTGTTAGTCGTGAATTTCCGTCTACGATATCGTGAGCACCCACATTTTCTAGGTGAACATGCTGATCACACAAGAAATTTAAGGACTTGTCAACATTCTCTAAACAATGAATTCGCATTTTTCCTCTTGTGGGTCGAGGAAGACGTTCACCAGATAAAATCTCTAGGAGTTTTAGAAGCATTTTCCCGTCCCGTAGATCTAGGTATAGATCTTCGATGTTGCAAGACACAACCGAAAGGTGGGAGTTTACCCATTTTGTGAATGTCTTTTTCTGAACAACCTCACGTTCATCTATAATGATACTTGGAATTAAACTACGACAACAACTAACCTGCAAGTGCTTTAATACGCGATCGTTCGTACAGTTTTGCTGTACTGTTTCCACTTTCGAATTCATCCTCATCAGAAGTATAATTAGCATTCTGTATGTTATTGGGTTCCCAGTGCAAATTTTGATGGATTGCCTGGATCTCCATTTCTGTAAAAACAAACGATAACGCGAAAAAAAATTTATTTTAGAAAATATTTTCAAATTAAGGCAATATGAACTGTTTTTACGGGATTCTAGTGGACGTGAATTTACAAACCTATCATCCCCAAATCGGGTTAATAGTATTATTTATAAGCTAGAATATTAGTGCAACCTTCGAGACAGGACTAAATCTACATTTACCGACGTCAGTCGAAATATTGATGTTTATGAAATGTTCTTGCAAAGTGAAAATCAAGAAGTCCAAGAAGTCCATTCTTTTTCATTTCGAGCATTGTCAACTCTTACTTTTTTCTAAGGAAAGTACAACCACTGGCTTCGCTAAGACTGAATCATCTCATCTTCTGACAATGAAAATTAACGGTAGCAAGATGATACATGATCAACACTCAGGGTCATCATTTTAACGGAATTCTTGAGTTTGTTTCCTATGCATGTAAAACTGACTGACAAATCAACAATAACTGATGGATAAGTACAGTTTGTAAGCTGTGTAACAGTCCAACTCAAAATCTGTAATAAAGTATTAAAGTGAAGCACAGAATTCCTTTGAGAAGATAGGAAGTGGTTGAGTTCGGAACAATGTTTAACAGTCAGAGCAATATAGGAATAAGATCCATTTGAGTTAAGGACTTAGATTTAGGGTTATTTTCATTTTGCTGCTATACGCCAAACCATTCAGCTCATAAAAAACGATAAACAGGACAGATTCCAGTTGAATAAAGCATCCAAAATCAGAGAATCTAATGTAAATAAACAGCAAAACGTTTCGTTGCTACGAAGATGTTATGATTTGGTTTTGTCTGGCATACTGCTAAAAGACCTGTCACTTGTAAACAACATAAGACGAAATAAATATGCATCACTCTAAGCCGACAATAACAAGATAGAATCGACAAGGTGAAAGACTGAGTTTCAGTAAAATTTATCAAAGATAGTAGGAACTAAGATTGGAAATAGAACTAATGGAAAGTATGAAATAATACTGAGCTCAATATTTAGAGGATGTATAAACTAGTCATAGCCCAATCGACTTTGAGCCATATTATCCAAACACGTTAGCATCAGATACGATTATCTAGAATACCCAAATAAAGCAGTCTGTCTCTCGACAGAGCCCAGACCAACATTCGACGGTTTCACGGATTGACCTTGTCTTGGAATGGCTATCCTTAGCCTTGTTTGAACTAAAGATTGCTATATTCGTAGCTTTATACTATTGATTCAATGGCTTCACTATGCATGAGTAGCGATTCGAAGGTAATTGTAATGCAATACTAGCGATATATCGAAGCTATGTATCTCTTTAAACCATGTTTTACAGTTATATATATTTGGTACACTGCCAAGCAGTATACTTTTTTGTTGACAAGTAGACGTGTAATTTGTTCGGGTCACAAAAGGCGTCGGTTGGCGAAATCCGGATGAGCGGTTTTGGGCCGTGTCAAGATTTTGTTCGACTATCCAACCGTGACTCTGGATGATCAAAGTGGTTGATGACCTTAGCTAAATAATAATTTAACGTGAGCCATTCATCAATTTGGTGTTCACTTAAGAGAACTTGAGTACTTGTGAAAGTTAGTGATACTAGCCATCTGATTAACTTGAAGTCAGTGAAGTGAGGTTCTTACCTACGACCAGATGACTTGAGTCTAGTAAAACTACCCTATGCAGTCATACTGAATATTGATGTAGACCTACACTAGAACAAAATTTTTGATTTTGGTAAGAAAATCTATTCCAAACATTTTTGTGCGGTATCTGTGTTCCATAAACTGATGAAGAGTAGATAATTAATCAAAACAAGCAAGTCTCTAACGCATATTTTTTCACGTCTGCTTTCCTTAGGAATATTGTGGGAAATAGTTATCCCATTTTACACACAGTGCGATGAACCAGTTAATTTTTATAATTTCAATAGAAATTTATAGATTATTGTTTTGATAACACCGATATCAGATGCCCAAAAAGTCACAAGTTTCCTCCAAGAAGTTGGGAACAATGTAACACAGCGTGTATACTGAGACAAACCTCGGTCAGACATGATTTTTCTGAAGTCATAATATACTTTACTAACTCCCAACTTTCAAAACTATGCAACTGGTAACTCAGTGAATGAAGCTACGTAGAAATACAAATTAGGGAAGTGAATTCCATCCAGGAATTAGTCATGTATTACCAGTAAGTTACTCTCCCGTTTAATATGTTAAGTTGATATACACTACAAACACTTATCACAACAACCAGAGCTACTGATATATTTTGTGCAGATAGAGGAAAAACTGATCATAGAGGATCAGATCCGAGAATTTACGAGTAATAAACATCCGTTGCTCGGGAGTTCATATAATAACCTTAAACTAAAATATAACTGTCGAATATTACTATTAAGAAACAATATGTACAATTTCAGCATACTGACTGAGTACAAACACTCTGAGTTTAAGTAGTTTAAAGGTACTTATCAACTTCAAAAATAAATGCCACTAAGTCAAACACGAGGGTATTATCTTGAGATTTTCTTTCAAGTGTATGATAGTGAGTAAATCAACGCGTCTGCTTTTTGTCTAGATATACTGTTGTAGCAGCTAAGACTAACCCGTATTTATGATAGATCCTGCGTAGATTTCGTCTGTATTTATTTCGCAATACACGAATTAGTGATTTAACTGGAAACACAATCCGTCCAAATCTTAACTCTGAATACTGAAGTTATTAGTAGCTTGATAATAATCTGGTTAAGAGCTGGTGGGAGGTATGGGAATTACTTGACAACTGACCGATCCAAATCAACTTGCCAAAATCTTGTTAGTCAAAAGGTGTTGAAATTCGAAGAACTGTTACATTACATCATTTTAAGATTCGATGGAGACTGAAAAGTTATTGAACCCGTTGTAAAAACCAAGAATCCTTCTATACGGAATTGGACTTCAGTGGTACTAATTGGATCTAATCTGTTATTAATATGCGAAATAGGTATCAGAGATGCCAGAAAAAATATTATTGTCGAGACTATTACGATAAATGAAATAAGTAAGGAAACTTACCAGACAAAGTCTCTAACCTTAGTCTCAACCTTGAATGAAGTGCGCGCGTCGACTTGCCGCCATGTGAGAAAGCCCTCCATTGTGTATATTGTTATAACTTTATGAATATCATCAGGAACCAAGTAATTAAGTTTTATTCCAGAATTTGTATCACAGAAATTCTCAATATGTTGTGTAAATCTAGAAACTTTCAAGAGCTAAACAGTCTTACGCACATAATCCTCATATGTTTTTGCAAAATATTGTAGTGGTAAGTAGTTCCCCAAAATAGGTAGCTTCAAAAGCATTCATCATTGAAGCTAATCATTTTGTTTTTGCCGGACATTATATTAGCTGGGGGCCCTCAGTCAGGTATCCACACCAGACCATTTTTCCACTCGTTGTGAACGCAACACTTCCGACATCTAACTTGCTATGAAATTGTACTCAGATATGAAACTGACAATATCGCACTATTTATTTAAACACGTAAATGTCATTCGAAGGAGCACGGAATTAAACACGAGCAATAAAAGAGCACTGTGATCCATATCAGTTTGCTTACAAATTCAAAAGAATCACTTTAGATGCCGTTGCTGTTCTGTATCACAATATAGTGTTCGGGTTGGAAAAGGATAAGAAGTATGTTAGATGCGCTTTCCTGGACTTTACCTCTGCTTTGGATTCTATTCCAAGACACCTCCTACTTAACAAGCTGATCAGCATCGACAATGACAGTTGGATAACCAATTGGCTATGTTCTTACCTTTCTGGAAGAGAATAGTGCACTGTATTTGAAGAAAAGTGTTCAACATCTCTACTGTCTACTGTAGGTGTGCTACAAGGAGCTGTTCTTGCACCTCTGCTCTTCTCTTTCTTTCTTCATGATCTGCCATCTTCCACAAAAATATGTGGACGACCTCACCGTATGCATGCCGATTTCTATCTCCTTACATCCTATAGAAATGATTGAGTTTTTGTCTCGTATTGAAAGGTGGTCTGTTGGTAATGGTCTCTTACTCAATCCATCTAAATGTCAAGCTATTAACTTTAGCTTGAGACATGGACAGAACCAATACTATATTTTGGGATCCCATAATGCTTGTGCCATTGGAGACTCCTTAATAAACACAGTGTCGAAGGTCAAATATCTTGGTGTCATTTTTCCTCTGATCTTTCTTGGTCTTCTCATGTTTTACTCTCATCGAAAAACGTTTACCGTTTGACATACTACATAAAGAGGCTGCATGCTTTTGGGATTACTCGCCATTTACTCTTACAATTTGTAAATTACCTATTATTACCTATTACCTATTATTCTATATTGTTCTCCATTATTCTTTCCCGGGCTTTTAAGAATAGACTTTGCTGTTTTGCGTAGAGTGCTGAAGGCGGTTTGCAAGGTATGTGGTGAATCTTTTGAAGTCATTATTAATATGCTTGTGGATAGACATCTTAAGTCTTGCAAACTCTTGACAGGTGTTATCTTATCAGATACTAACCATCCGCTTCATTCATATCTTTCTCCTTGTATATCTTCTGGTAGAATGAAACGTAAATACATCAAAATCCATGCACGCAAGCAAATCTATAAAAGTTCTGTAATACCTTACCTAGTAAATTTACTTTGTGACGAACAGGCTGTTAGAGTTGACCTAGTAAATAACCTGTATTCTTAAGCATGTCTCAAATTCGATAATTTGTATAAACTCAGATTTTCTTAAACCTTTTTTTATTTTTATTCTGTTTTTTTTATTTTGGTTTTTTTTGTTTGTTTTTTTTGGTAAAAAAAAGTTGTTGAAATAACTCGTGCTGAGAATTCTATATTGTACCACATTATAATATTGAATAAAGCCATTAATAATAATAATAGCCAGAAAATTAGATGATGTAGAGATAGATGAAATAAGGAAGTTGAGTATAATTATCCAAATATATCTTCCAGCTAACTCATCACTGACTTTCTTAAATGCTTTATGAACATCTGGGTAGAAGATACTGAAAATTGGATATTGTAAAGTCCTGGAGCGTCCGGATCCTCTTCAATTTCCCACAGGAATTCCCATCTAAGTCTTTGTTTGAAACTAAAATCAGTGGGTCCGGTTGATGCTTGAAGAAGTGGCTATAGTACTGCTTTATGTGGATATTACGGAATGTCAGAGTTCCCTTTCCTTCACCTCGTTAAGTAAAAACGTTGATCAGGGTACTGGATTTTATCACTGTAGTGAAGATACCATCAGTATTGTAGTTTCACAACTCTTTACCAGTAACACCTATAATCGAATCGCCCCACCCAGTTAAAATCAGTAGAAGGAATGGATGTGGTTAGAAGGTATATTTGATAGGTTATCAATATATCGAGAAGTGACTGATCTAATCTGGCTAATTATTGTAGGAGATGTTTTCCACGCCGTTCCGGAACGTGATCTGGTACGGATGCATGACCAATTCCACTAAAACTAATGTGGTCGGCATCCAATGTCGAACACTCTCAGAGCTATTGATTTTGAGGAATTATTTACAGCTACAGTAGTACTATTCTTAGTGGTTATCAACAATCTACTAAGTTACTTCAAGCCTTGAATTCTCTCATATGCTGACGATATTAAGACCGAAGATAGGATACAGGGACATGAATATGTAACAGTAAATAATTCCCTCCTAAAAGAGTTTCTCATGTCAATTGTCATCTTGTGAGTCTGTTGTTCGCTATAGACTTCGCATATAAATTTCAAAGCAATCAACGACTATTTTTTGTGCTTTCGAATTGCTTTCTTATATCTACGTATTTCTAACCTCTTATTTTTCATCATGTGCATGTGGTTATCAGAATTCAGACTTCTTAGTCCCGTTTTAAAACTTATGCTTTTCCGTCCCGATAGTGACAAAACATGATCTCCGTATAAAAGCAGAGTTACGGTATGACTGGATCATATTGTAGGTTTCTTACTGTCACAGTGTCACCGCCGTTCGAATTAAACAAGCCGATCACATCTAACAAGTTTGGTAATGGCGTTCATATTCTATTAATTAATTATTAGATAGTTTCAAAAATATGAGACTTAACCCATCGAAAGCCGTTATATCAACTCTCTATGATATCGAATCTAAGCTGACTTTGGTAACCAAAACTTTTTATTGATGAGAGAAGTTGCTGACCAACAAACAGTCGGCTAACATCTGCCCGAATAACTTTTAATCCAAGCATCCACACCACGTACATGGGCTTCTTGTTTGTGTTTAAATCAACGTTATCGATAAACTAGCTTCATTTTTCGATCCTACCCTAGAGATCAGCAGAAGTCTCAACAGTGACGTTCGTCCTGTCATAGAAAAGCCTCATACAACTCAAGGCGAAATCGCAACTCTCTGCAACACTCTAACTCGCGTTATTAACCTTAAAAAAGTCAAAAAAATCATGAATTTGGTTATTTATTCTCTGAAGAAGTGGCTTACGCTGAGTCACGAAACATCAGAAAATCTAATTTTTCTACTCATTGGGATATTACAAATATATTATTTATTTATAACAACCTACCCAATGCTCAATTTATTCAAAATTATGAAATCAAAACTTGCTAATGATACCTTGTATATTTTTGGTTTGAGGGGATGATGTGATCCGCAAAACTAGAAGTCTGAACAAATTACGGAAGCTATTTTCAGGGACGTTAATTCATTTAATTCAAAGCTTGTAAAACTGTAACATTTACTTTTGCCCCTAGCCTATTCTACAGATCATAAGCTTTCGTTTGATGTATAATTCATTGCCATAGCATTTTCTGTTCTAAAGCTATCGTCATTTAGACGTAATCTTTTGTACCCTATTTTCTACCATAATTCCCCAGTTTTGGACATAATTGTATTTTTCTAATTATTGTACGTTGTGGTCCGCTTAGTCATCTGCTTATTCATGTAACTTTTCACCCTAATCTGAATTGGGAATTCGAGTGCTAGATCGGGGTTGGAATAAAGTGATTAGTGTCCCAGCTGTCTTTGTCTTCTCTCTCTCGCGCGTGCTTGCCAGCCAATCAGGGATAGAATAGTTTTCGTTTCTCTACCCCTATTTAGAACTCACGCATATTAGCCTCAAGGTCAAGCCAGTCAGCCTATCGTGTCAAGGTCTTAATCTACATTATACTCGGCACTAAGTGGGTGGACAGATTCAAGGACGTAACAGGGGAAAATGTTAACACTCAACCTTTTATCTAGTTTTGGTTTTCTCCATGTATCATTCCCATGATATGGTTTTCAGTGACTAATTCTGTTTGTTTTGTTCCATTGTAAACTTTATTGACTGCTGCCTGTTTGCTTAAGTTCGAGTTGGTTGAACTGATCTATCGTTTGAACAGAGCTACGTTCCTAGTTTATCAAGAGCATCATTTCTTCTTGATAAGTAATTAGTTTTGAGGTTTTTGACCCCCTGTTACTCTTACCAAGTGTGTTACTCTCTTTTCAGCTCAAATATGTTCTTCACAATTTCTAGACGTCATATTGCTGGTCGTCACGACAGGACGAGTCGATGCAGAGAATGACGTGACTTCCACATAAGATCTTATAAATTCGGAATTCACAGACTGACAAATTCACAATTTTGGTATAGGTCTATAATTGTGGCAATACTATCACCGAATCACACCATATTTCTACAAGACCATGACCCTGACTAATGTGTAGGGTAGTTTCAGCTTCTCTCACTTAGAAGTTCTTCTGTAAATCTGACGACCTCTCGATTCCACCCGCGTTAAAGAATTTGGAGTGATGGAATCATCGACATCTGTTTGTTAGCACTGAAGCCTGATTTCCTGCTGCTTTTTCGTCTGTTTCGGTTGATTCGTTAGTGTTGTACCTCATCACACGATAACTGTTCTAACCGAAGTTGAATTCAAAGCATTAGGAGTGTGCTGCTTATACGTTATGGTGTAACGTGTGAATACTATTTTCACAATTCTGTAGATATTTTGATAACTAGTTCATCGTAGAAAATCTTTATTTCGCCCAAATAGATGTGGATCACAATTGTTAACAACATGTTCATGTGCTGCATAATCGTTTGTTTGCTTTGGTGTCACAAACTTAGATAAAAGTATACGAATAATTACCTCAAGGCTATGGTTGATCGTGAGCGAACTTATAGAATTATGGTCTACTTCGTTATTAATACTACTCTAATAATAGACCTAGTCTTAAGATTGCAGATCTGTTATGATGTGACTGTCTAATCTGAAAGATCTTACGCGGGAGTCACGTCATTGTCTACACCGACTCATCGAACTGTAACAATTATCAATATAAGATGGAGAACACATTCAAGCTGGAGATAGAACGATATATTTAATATGAGCAACTAAAATTCATACATAGTGACCGCGCCTGCAAGGCTGAGCCATGCCATCCGGTGGATTGAATCAATTGAATTCCTGCTTTCCCTCTTCTCCATCATTGGGTTTTTACTCGCGTTAAACGTTAAATAATTATTTACCCAGTTGTCGCATGTATAGCATTGGTGATTGTGTGGTTAGGGCTCAATGCCAGTGCAAACTATCCACAACTACCAGGATGTGTTTACGTTTACCGACTGTCGTAAGCCAGTGAAGTGGTAGTTGACTAACACTGAATGTTGAAATGAAGTTTCAGAGTTGTCGTTAAACTTTTGTAACGAAGATCTGAGTCTTCGTTTTAAATTCAGGTGGGTCTATCTATCTTCAAGGGTTCCAGAAACCCTTCTAAGCAGACAGTCAAAGGTCAACAGATATGCGCTGAACCACACTGCGACCTTGGGTTTAGTCGAACACGACCTTATTGTCAATGGTCTGGCAACATGGAACAGTAAATTGGGTAATAAATGGTAAGTTTTCAACCAAGACAGAATGACAGAAGCTCCGACAGGGAAAATTGAGGAACATAATATGTGATTAAAAAGGGACCTGAATAAAGGATAAAGTGGAAGATGAGGAGGAGAGGAAAATAAATTAAAATACTGTCCAATGAAATACTGCAAAGGGATTTTTAGGATTTTCTTACCGTCACACACTCTCTTTCGCTCTTATTCATACAGGACAAAAAATCGTTCGCCTACGAGCTTAATGGTTGCACGAACATGGTTGAGAAAGTGCGTGCAACACACTTACGGCGTTGCGTCGATAATCTTTCGGCATGATTAGGTGACCCCTACCTATAAATGTGTCATATAGTCGAGTCTCCTTACCTTTTTATCTGTTTGATCTGTAGTTTCAGGGTTAACAAAGAAAACTCGTAACGAAGATCCGTGCCTTCTTTTTTAATCTGGGAGGGTTTAAGAAGGTCGATTCTCTACAAACGTCGAGGAAGTTATACCAAACAAGGCGTCTGCAACTACATTGTTTGACCCGTACATATGTTGTGCATCCGAATTAAAATGCGAAATGTAGTTCAGTTGTAGTGACACTCGAGGTGAGTTCTTATCTGAAGATAAGTCAAGAATGAAAATAGATAGACTGAATTTATAGAATTATGGTCTACTTCGTTAATAATACTATTATAATAATAGACCTAACCCTAAAACCGTAGATTTGTCATGATGTGACTGACTAATCTATAAGATCTTATGTGGAAGTCATATCATTGTCTATGCTGACTCGTCCTTTCGTAGGAATCACCAGTATGATTTTACCTACTTCTGCAGGACACATTTAGACTGGAGACAAAACAATATATTCAGTATACATAAAAAAGATATATTACAAAAGAATGACCACAACTGCAAGGCTGAGCCATGTCATCCGATTTACTGATTTCAATCAAATCTTCCCTCCTTTACCACCGCTGACCTCCTCTTCATGTCAATTGTTGAATATAAACCTTTTCAGTAATTACATGCTCGGCTTCAAAGGTCGCTTGGTTAGAGTACAATCCCACTCCAAATTCTCGTCCTTCCACCGAGTGTTGAAAGTGCCGTACAGAATTATGAACGACTTGGAGTCCCCTGCCGAATGTGCATAAAGGAATCTGCAACGACGAAGTTCCAGTGAATTAGTTCGCGTAAACCCAATTTAAGATGAACATATCCTTTATCGTATGTAGTGATAAGTTTTTCCGTTGCCGCCTGTAAATTCAAGACAGGTCAACGCAGGCGGCTGTTAGAATTATGTTGAAGAACGCTTACTTCTGTACCAGTGTCGATGGAGTGGCGGACTTCACATCAGAGATACATAATAGACGGTTATTTTGACTGACTGTGGGTGCCGTTAACAAGTGCCGGGAGGTAGTTTATTCTAAGGGTTTTCGTTTCGAACGGTCTTGGGGTTGGGAGGATGAGGGTTTTCCTGCAATTTCCAGAGGACTCACTATACTTATCGTGGGACCAACACCAATCAAGATCATCTGCCTCTTGTGGTCCACCCAAAGACATTTTTCGTGATGGACTTCGATCATGATGAATACAAAGAAAAGGAATGAGAGTATGACAGATGTGTAACTTCATTTTGTGTCGTTGGAGGCTTATTTTGATAGAAAAAATCTCTGGGCTGAGGGTTGTGTTGATCTTCAGAATTCGACCGACAGATGGAGCCAATTCATCCACGGTATTATATTTTAATGAGACGCAAACTGCTTGTACCTGTTGGGGAGGCTTAAATAAGAGATGTCTAAAGAAATTTTCGTCCGAGGTCCGTTGACTAATGACCTCCGGCGAAACTCCTGTTACTAATCAGTGTTGCAATTCTGGATTGTGGGATAGTTGGTTTAACCTTTGTCAGTCGGTTAGGTCTCTTCGTTTGAGGATAGCCTTTCCTAAGCTGTCATAAGATTCCGAAACATTACAAGTAAGCATGAGGTATAACATACCTATTAAAATCGCTCAGCAATGCCTTCAACACAGTGAAGATATGACTAGTCTTGAAGTTTTGCAACTCTAAATCAGTAACACCTATGTTCGAAGCGTTCCACAACCAGTTGAAATCAGAAGTCAGACGAAAAGAGGTAGGAAGGATATATTTGGTACATCGTCAATATATCAAGAAGCGTTTACTCTGACCTGGCTAGCGAACGTAGGAGCTATGTCCCACGCTGGATCGTAACGTAATCTGGTGCGGATGCATGACCGAAAGCCTTCAGTTAAACAAGTCCACTTAAAACAATGTGGTCAGCATCCAATGTCGAACTCTTAGAAAGCTAGTGGTTTTGGGGAATTATTTACAGCTACAACAGCAAGGAATGGGACACACACGAGTCTATTACACTGTGATAGTGGAAATCAACTTCTGTGTAGCAGAACCAGACTTTGGCCAGAATTACATGAGTCGAAAAGTGGGTGCATGTTCCGACGCGAAGAAAGTAAAAGATAAATAAGCGGAAAAAAATCCAAGAACACCGAAACGCTATCATGAAATGTGGAAAATATTCATCAACGATGTTAAATAAGGGACAGACCAACAATTTATCGTTTGGTGTGTCAGATCACGTAGGACTCACCACTAAAAATGTTGCAGATATTCGGGAATCGACAATGCATTCGTCCGTAACACCCTTATAATCGAAAGATACCGGCTAAGTGGAATCAGAAGTCAGGGATGAATGAATTCGAAGGTGTATTTGGAAGGTTGTCGATATGTTGAGAGATGAAGATGCCAAAGCATTTGGAATTTGACAACACCTTAACTAGTAATCGAAACGTGTCCAGCTAGTGAAATCAGAAGTCAGAAGCGAAGTAGTTTGAAAATATATTTGATAGGCTTTCAATATATTGATAAGTGACTGCTGATCTAAATTGGCTGGCGGCTGTAGGAGAAGTTTAGCACGGTATCATCACTCGTGTTCTGGTGCGGATGAATGACCGAGCGCCTTCAGCTAGGTGAGTTCATTAAAACTAATGTGGTATGTATCTAATCTTGCTGACTTACAGAGCTGTTGATTTTGGGGATTTATTTGCCGCTAAAAATATGTTAAGAAGAAACCCAGGAAAAAGTCACAGAAATTAAATCTCTCAATGATCAAGGACACTACTTACTATCCAGACGCAGATATCAAATAACAAACAGTTTGTTACTTCTGCTTAGCGATGTTTGAGATATGAAAGACGGAGCGACAGAAGTTACATGCGCTTGAAATAAATTAGGCGTGTCAAATGAATTTAGGCCCAGAGTGAGTTGAAGCGTAGCAACGTTTAGTGCATTTTCGCTCTATTTATCTTGTGCTCAAAAGATTGTCTGTTTACATTTAAAGAAATTTTGACCCCAAAGTCGAATAAAGTATTTATAGCGTTCATTTTCATGAGCTGAACTAATTTTTTGACTACAGTACGTGTACTCATTATTCACTATGAGACCTTATGTTTAGAAAAAAGACAGGCAGCCAGATTATGACATAGCTTTGTCGTATGGAAAATAGTTTTTTTTGAACTTTTACTTAGCAGTCCGTCAAGACTCTTCAATTAAGGACTCGGAGTTGACTCACGCTAAAGACTAGGTGCTATCAGACATGGGTTAAAATAGAAGCCAGCAACAACCCTTCTTCAGTCTTCAGTAATAAGGATAGTAGGTTGATGAACCTGTGTTAATCCTGACAGATTTCCTTCCAGTGAAGGTACAGCTTCTTTTTGAAAATGTTCACTGATGGTGCTGATACCACTTGTTCTGGTAAAGCGTTCCAGTCATTGACCACTCGATGAGAAAAACGGGACCCCACCTTTAGTTTATTAGATCGCGGTTTCAGAACCTTCTTGCTATGACCCCGGAGATTATTAGTGCTGGAGGGAGCAAAAAGGTAAGACATATTAACACCCAGATCATAATTAAAGATACGAAATGCCAGTATAAGGTCACCTCGCGTCCTACGATAAGATAAGGGGAAAAAATTTAGACGTTTTAAACGCATTTGTCACTCTAGTGTTAGGAATTACTTTGAATTAAAGAAGTTCTTGGCTGTATTTTGAAACTATACTGTATTTCACATTATATATTGTTACACGCATGTTTATTTCATTTTGATTCTAGTTCTCTCTTTACCTATTTACGTCATTTCCTTGTTTGTTAGGTTCATGCCCAAGCAACCAATAAAGGGGGAATAGAGCAGCCGAAAGCCCAAATAAAGGGGAAGAGTAGATTTCCCCCCCATCACGTCTGTTTAGACTGTGGTAGATAGACAACATATCCTATGAAAGGGGGACAAGAGAATTAGTTAGTTATCGCTTAAAATACAAAGTGCAAGAGCTGTTGATTGGTTTGGTCTACCGCAGTCTAAACTGTGATGTGAATGTGGTCGTGCTAGACGGTTTCAACACTTGGTCACCAAGTGGTCGATATTTAATCTGAGTAAACCTTAATGCACCTATGTTAGACTTGAAAAATTTGAAGACTGCGTTATCAGAATATTCTTTCGAACAGAAACTAGTTGATACGATTGTCACATGTTCCTTAGTGCAACATGTGTGAGAAACAACTAGGTACGACCCGGACTCCTAATCATTCTTACTAGATCTCATATTGACCCATTATGAGGGTGACGTCACAAACCCCCATTATATGCCGTCCCTAGGTAAAAGTCTTCGATTTCCATACAATTGTCTGTGAAGAGAATGTGCCAGACCAAACGTCTAGCAAGCGAATATAGAAGATATTATACACTCATTATCCTCGGTAGATTGGTCAATAGAATCAGAGTCCCCTATGGGAACTGCTCGGATGTATCCAGAAATTTACACATAAAAGTCACTGCACAACTTAACCCTTGGACTACACCAAGGGGTTCAAAAACCTTCGCACTATGGTTCAGTAAAGAGGTTCTCACCCTTCTCCGTAAAATGAAGAGATTGTGGGAGATTCAGGTTACTGAGTACTAACGCGACAAAGTCTCAATGTCGGGAAGCTAGAAATATTTGTGCCTCGACCCTCTGCAAATCTAGAAGGTTGTACGACAAAAAACTTGTTAAGGAATCTATAGGATACCCTAAACGCGTATATTCGTACATAAACTAAGAGGAAAGGAAATATTCTAGCATAATGGAGAGACAGTAGTACTGCATCATTGGTGAAAGACGATTATGGTAAAGCTCAGGTATTCTCAAACTACTTTAACAATGCATGTACCTTAGAGGTGCCCTCCTCTTCAATTCATACAACCCACACACACAAAATGGACACTGGCTATTAAAGAACTCAATGTCTGTGGTCTGCTGAATGAGCTTGATATAGGCAAATCTAAGGGAGCCGATAAAATGCATCCTAGGTTACCAAAGGGACTTGCAGATTTTGTCGCGAATCCCTTAAGCATATGTTTTAATATGTCTGTAATCCAGGGTCTATGACCAAAAGACTGAATAATGGTATAGTAAGTCCCATCCTCAAGACAGGTATTAGACCTAAACCTGAGACATCGATCCGTAAGCTTAAACAGCGTGGCTGTTAAAATTTTAGGAAAATATTCTGATGTTGTTTAAGTATCTCGACGAAAACTGGATTCTTTCTGAGAAGCAGCATAGCTTTAGAACAGGTTATTCATATCTCGCTAACCTATTAGTAGCCTGTTAAAGTTAATACGCTCTTAAAGATCAAAATCTACCTATAGATGTAGCATACATTGATTTTTGACAAAGTTTCTCACAACCGGCTGTTATACAAGTTAAGTAATATCGGGATCGGAGGCAACTTATCAATATGGATGAAGGAATTTCTGGTCAAGCGTCAACAGTACGGATGAACTCGAAGTTGTCTAGCTGGGAAACTATGTTTGGCAGAGTGCTTCAGGGTACATTTTTGTGGCCAGTGTTGTTTTTCCTGTAAATAAATGACCTTCCTAATCTCTTATAATCATTGGCTTTGTTATACGCTGATAGTGTCAAAATATGGAGGACGATAAAAAGTAGAGCTGATAGCTTGGAGCTTCAAAATGACCTGGAAAAATTATCTGAATGGTTTATGATCTGGCAGTTACTAATAAATGCTTACAAGTGCATTATGATGGATATTGGTCACTAAGATACAGATACATACACGGTGAATAACAGTGAGCTACCTGTTCAAACATAATAACTTCGGCGTCATTGTTAGTCAAGACTTGAAAACTACCGCACACTACTGTGCGATAGCCGCTAAAGGTTTTAGAACTCCATGGTCTTAACGTAAGGCCTTTTAGCCGTGTCGATGCTAAAATCTTTGTATATAGTATTCGTTCGTCCTAAACTGGGGTGCTGCATACAAGCGGCTTGCCCCTGCCTAAAAAGAGAGTGGGCTGTTGAAAAGGGTTCAATAAACCACAACTAAGCTGATCCTCGAAATAGCAAAATTTCGGTGTGATGCTCGACTTACTAAACTAAATCTATTTTCATTGTCATTTAAAAGAACCAGAGGCGACTTGATCACAGTTTTTAAATTAATTAGTGGTAAATTTGCATTTGATATGCCCTCACTTTTCTTGTCTTCCAAAACAAGGTTTACAAGGACACTAAAAGAGTTCACAATTTTAGAACAAATTACTTGTCAGCTGACTATCGACTTTCTCATAGAATCATCAACAGATGGAATTAATTAGCTCCATCTGTTAGCGCTTTGAACAGGAAGCTGGGTCAACTGAAAGACCACCATTGTCAGGACTAATACAGGACACCTAGCTTCTTGTCGTTTTAAAACTGAATTTAAATTCTTCATATCAATGATATTACCTGACGATGTACTTTTTTTTGCTCTAGATGAGAATTTTAATGAACTATTCTGTAGAACAATCTATGGCAGTTCAAAGTACCAATAATATCCGTCTCAAACTAAAGCAATGTAATGTCTTATTACATCCAATGGTATAGTACTCACAATCAAATATTAGAGTCTTAGTCATAACATGTTACCACGGCTCAATCTGTTTTTAGAATCAACTAGAAACTTTGCGTTGATTGATTGGCTATACAAGATGTTAATTTTATAATCCTGTTTGCACAGTATATAACCAACTTCGTTTTAGTAAAGAGGTTGTGACTTTTTTTTGAATTCGAGCAAGTTTTATTGATATATTTTATTGAGGACTGCATAAGTGTTTGCTAGTTTCTGTTAGTAGTACACTAAGTGGTACAGTAAAGAATTATTTTTTAGGGTCATTATTATTATCCTTAAAATATTCTCTTACAATTTAGTCCATTTTTATTTTGAACAGCTTTTTGGTTGAACATCATTGATTATTGTTGAATCAGTCTTTCAAACCCTGCTCTATGAAGAATCCGATTTTTTTGACCATAACATACCAACTTGTGGTTGCTATTTGGCCAGTACTAACGTTTACAGAGAATAATAGCGACAACAGCATCAATAATAACTGCGGGAAAAATTTTCAATTCAAACCAAACAGAATCATCTTAACTCAAAAGTCCATTTCAGCTGGTGCTAAATTTCTCAAAAAGTTAAAAGTATCATCGTTTAAAGAATGTTACTTTATGTGTTGCAATACAAATGAATGTAGCACAGCAATATTTGAATCTAAGGTAAATTTTATCTCTACATTGCATAAAAAATTCATAATAGGCTACACAGTCCTGTTTTATGTTCGATTGTCGACAGCCTGGACAATGCTTTTATTCTAGTCATTCCAATTATGATACAATAGTCTTGGAAGAATCAAACGGTAATCAGAGTTTGAAAAATAAAGGTAATTAATGAAACGACAACTTATTCGACTAATTAGTTGGTCTAAATCAACATTGTGATTCAAATAACGTGTGTGATGAAGTTAAAACTATATGCTCTGATGGGATATGTATTTGCCAATCTGGTTGGATTGCAAAGAAAGGTTCATGTGGTAACTATAGTCTCATATTTTACTAGTATTTCTGTTAAAACGTATTATTTTAGTTCAGTCAGTTTGTAAATCACCAGACCTTCAATTCCAGTGTGATGATTCTTCTACTTGTGTAGCTATCTATGATAAATGTAACGGAATAGTTGAATGCCCAGATGGATCGGATGAGTTGTTTTGTCCTTCAAGTACGTTGTTTTTTTACACGACTTATATGTGACAAATTAGTTTTGGATGTTTTAATCTATGTCACGAGTCAGTCACTTAACTATTTCGTACAATCATGGTTAATATATTTATCATACAGTAATGACAATTAAAATAGAAGTTAAATCTCGCTATACTTAAATTGAGTTGTTCTCTGAGCTAACGTTTTAGTAGATAAAAGTTCCAGCGTCAAGTTTCAGGAATAGTTGTAGCCCATATTCTAGTTACCGTTTTCTTACGATTTAATCATTTGATATCATAGTTTATAAATATGCGAATGTCACAATATTATTCCGAATGTGGTCTGTATCAGTTTGGTTGGTTCCACCATAGTAATAGAATTGGGGAGTGCCCACCACTTTATTAACATTGGCATTATCATTTATCTTGCTTGGTTAGTATTTTTTAACTTTTACTGCCTGTGGCGTAGGTGCACTTGTCTAAATACTTACCAAAGAAAAAGTGCTAGACAGTACCCCCTGTATGGTTCTTGAGGATTGTAAATTGTGTATACTGAAAGTAGATTCCCATAAGTCCAATGTATTCACTCGTGGGTATTTTCAAATCATTACTTGGATACGGTAATATCACTAAGAGATGCAAGTGTTTTTGCTAAAGTATTCAGCAAAAGAATAGTTGATGAAGCTATGAACATTCATAGACTGAGACGTTATGTATGTTTAGTTACCATCTACGTCAAAGATAAAAAAGAAACAAGTGTATATCATAAAATCAACGATACTAGAAATTAAAATTATGATCTATGGCTTATAAGGAAGACATGATATTGAGGAGTAAAAAGTGGGATACTATATTATTACTCCTGAATATGATCAAGTATTATTATTTGATAAATAGGGGTTTCATATAATCCGTTTTTTCTTTATGTACTTGAAATTGTCAAGAGTTAAAGCACATATCATGTTAAAGGGAGCTAACCACCTTATTTGAAGCATTTTGTCATTAACGAGTGAGCACAAAAATGTGGCGCAAATTAGTTAAGAGTCTATCTTCGTAACTCAAGTATACGTCTACATCAAATTATTTACAGGTCAGTAACATTAATTGTGATGGGTATATCATCAATTGATGGTATTTTTATTGGGTTCTAGAAATAACTGTTCGTCCTGTAGAATTCGAAAATTTGAAAGCTGAGTACTCACTCTGTGTAAATGCTGTTTTCACTGATTATTGTTTTTTTATGTTGAAGTATTCAAATTTTTTCGAACATGTGAATAGTCGAGATTACTGCATACAATTATAAATCTCACTAAACTGGACACGAAACTAAGCTAAAAAATTATGGTTATATATTCACTACAATGCTAAAACAATTTTTCAGTGTTGAAATAAAGAATCAGTATCTAGTAATTTTTGTTTGGTCATATTCACTACCACAAGTAATTTGTAATATGTACTTCGACATATTTCTGAATAGTATGGTCTAAATCTCGGTTCTCAGCGTAGTTTTTTTCAGAGGTGGATTATAAAATTTCCACTTGTAATTTTTCTGTGCACAGGAGTAATTCACAAGCAAAACGAAACCAATCCGTCATTACCGCGTAATCAAAAACAAGGTGAATTCGATGGGAGAATTTTGTCTAAACCTTCAAATGCAAGTTATCAGCCTTTGGAAAGATATCAGTCCAGTCAACCATCTTTTTTAACTACATCTCGAAGTACTTCTCCAGCGTTGATAGACTTACACGATCTATCTGATCCATTATTTTATACTAGTCCACCAAATTATCATAATGATAGGGAACAACAGACAAAATCACATCCAATTAAATCTGCTAACCAAAAACCATTATTCAATGTTGATGATAAAGAACCTTTTATGCTTGATATAAATAATAAAATTAGTGAAAATAATGATAACAATGCTGAGATGTTTTTTACTTCAAGTGATGATGATGGATGGCATTATCCTAAGGGACTATATCATGATGTTTCATCACAGGGTGGTAGTGATATCCTTTCACAATCACTACCTAGAAAGCATCTATATCGACCAGATCATCATCATCATTCGATACTATCACGAATGAAACCATATGAAACAGAAGGACTGTACAGGCCCAGATCATTCAATGCTTTTAAAGTTGATTATCCTCCGTTATCACAAAGAAATGAATTATCGTTCATTCCCTATCAACATTCCAATACTTTTATGCATGGATCACATCAAGATGAACCGTCATTTTTTCAATATAATCGGGATCGTAAACACCAATCTGAGATGATAATTGATCCAACTGTACTGGAAAATATGGACTTTATCAATAAACTTAGTGAAACAGGCGATACTTTAAAAAAGTATCCGTTAGTTCATGGTATGTTGTGTGTGTGTGTGTATATATATATTTTAATTTTAACCTTTATGCTATTCACTACAAGGTTTCTTATTACAACTCAATTAATTGAAGCAGTTGACTGATATACTTAGCTTAACGATATCAATATTTATCAATCATGAATGTTATTTTTATGCTATTGATTGCAGCAAGTTTCCATTTTAAAAAAATTGTAGGATTTATGTTTCCTATAGGTACTTTTTTCGTAATAATGTCAAGTCAATGTAAACGTAGCTATAGTAGAACAAATTAAAAATTAGTCTTGAATACTTTATGTGTTTCTAAAATGTAAATCAATATAACTTGTGCAACAATCTGAAGTCAATATAGTCAGGCAGAAATAAATGAAAGTAAAGCATATAAATAGATCAAACAGTAGTGAAAAATGCGACAATTATAATTGTAAAAATGATATCGTTTTGGTTTGCGATGATATTTGAGCTTTACAAACTGCGCTAATCCTTATCATTGTCAAAATCAAGTTCAAAGCTATCAAACTCTGTAGAAAATGTGTGTTGCCTTACCGAAAAATTTGTTGAATAAAGTTCAAAGCTTCACAATCCGTTAATAGTATGTTTTTTATTGTGTAGCCATGAATGTTGATGTCTTATGTAACCAGATTCCTTGATAAAGTTAAACAAAGAACAATATGGTTTGTAGAATAAAATGAATTCATTCTATTTCATGGTTTCGCATCATCTATATACAATCTAAATTTACAATTATTAATATAAATAATATTATCAACAAATGTCTAGCATACTTTAGTTTGTGAAGTTTAGATAAATGTTCGAAATGTAACCAAAATCATACTAATTCAGAAGAATAGGGATACAAAGTGTATGATGAATGAACATAGTTAAGATCAATCTGTATTTATATAGGCGTGATAAGTATCAGCCTTATTTGTTAGATAACTCAGAAACATTATGTATGATAAATCGAAGTGTATTGGATGCTAAAAATCAACCACCATCTTACCTCAATATACATAGTGCAAGCAGTGTCGAGCCACCTAGACTGGTGGTCACATTGCAACTCGATCGATAGCATTCGATCAGCACTAAGAAGGACCTGACAGGCATGAGATTGATCACCACCCAGTGATCAATCAATTGTGATTACATCTCAGTCCTACAAGAGGTTGGTCGCGGCCCGAATAGCTCAGTGGTAACGTCTCTGACTGTGAAGCTGAGTGACGCGGGATCAAATCCGCCAGGGAGCATCAGTTCCCTCAGGATTACAGGTACACCTTGCTGACGAGTGCCAAGTAGCACGAAACCCGGGTCCAGGGTTTCCTGTTGACCACCTCCAACCACCATCTTACCTCAGCAATCCTTTCCAGTTGCTATTCATCCTTTTCATATCTGCTTCTATTTCCCGACGTAATGTGTTCTTTGGCCTTCCTCTTTTCTGCTTCCCTTCCGGATTCCAAGTTAAGGATTGCCTTGTGATGCACATTGGTAATTCCCTTAATGTATGTCCGATCCACTTCCAACGTCTTTTCCTAATTTCCTCTTCAGCCGGAAGCTGGTTTGTCCTCTCCCATAAAACGCTATTGCTGTTAGTATCCGGCCAGTGAATGTCGAGTGTCTAACGTTTGAATTGTTTTTTCTGGTTAGCGTTTTTTTAGCGAGTTAGTTTTTCTACGGGATGGGGTCGCTAACCCCATGTCCAACCCTCCTCCTTTACCCGAGTTTGGGACCGGCAGTAACTTTAGAAGAGCTACAGGCGGAGTTGAGAAAAATTTTGGTAGTGTTTTATTAGGTAATTTAAATTTGTGATAAGTAATAAACTTAGCATGATTACCAGCCTAGTAATTAGTCACTAATATGTTATTGTTTGGTGATTACTAGAGAAATGTGTTTTATTCTGCTTGGAACTCGTCAGCTAGACGTATGTTCATTCTAGCGAGTTTTCTTGTTGTCTTGGACTAAAATCTGGCGCCTTTTTTCATATCTTATGACGTGAGTAGTTTCGAAAGCCACTTGCTCAACAGGTATTGTGTGTCACTTCATCTCATAAAGCTTAGTGGAAGTATAGAAGAAATCCCAGTTGGTGTCAACGTTGTAAAAATAATACTTATGTTTGCCAACATGTGTTTAGGATAATGAAAGATATTTTTCAATTATTGATGATCATCCTAAAATACCGTCCTCGTTATCGTGAACATATTTTATTATATCTCAGCAACTGTCATACTGACCATAAATTTGCTAATACTGATTTTTTAAATTTTTCTACTTGGACATTTATAGAGCCCAAATACATTCACCATAGGAATGAATTTGAAGACATTAGTCAAAAGGGATCTAGTATAGATAAAAGTGAGTTCATTTATCCATTACTAATTCCCATATATATTATATTCATTCCATTAATCTTATACATAGTCTTGAAGTACAAATAATTTAATCCTGTTAACGTTTAAATATAACTGGGCTAGTGTAGATGTCATGTGGATTTTTTCTCATGCCATCCCATAGTCAAACAGTACGGGAACAATTATAAACGAGGGATTGAAGGAAGTTGATTATGCATCTACTCAAGACCTCAGCCTACATGCTTTTGTCTACGTTAAAAGGACAACCGTATGTATGCACCTATAATTTATGATTCATTTTGATAATTAAACTTTCCTAGTTATTTTATTCTTCTCATTTGTATAATACGTTTGGTATACCTTGGGAAGTGTATGACGTAACTCAGTACTACCACAGAACACAAAACTTGATATGCTATGAAACATATCAATCCATTAATCATTCATCCCTTGTGATCATCTTTAGCTGGCTAATTACTCATTAGTTGTCTATGTATATAGAGTGGCTTAGTGAATTTGCGGTTAAAGCAATCGTCTCTCAAACACTGAGTTACATACTTGAATTTCTCTCCACTTCAAGCAACCGGTTATCATCACCACCGTTCACACACACAGTTTGGCTCAAACTAAGATGAATAAATGTGCACATGATTATAGTGAGTTAGCTGAACTGTGTGCTTGAAGCAGAGATGGATGGTGGCTAGCAGTGGAATTCTCACATTATTCACATATACTAAAAGAGACTGATCATTTGCAGTCCTAAAACACTAATGTAAGATTCAAACAATCAATATATATGTATTAAAATATTCAATCCTGGTTTCTAAATCAGAAAACATTACGTACTTTGATGTTTTTTTAATGACATACATAAAGTGGTCGTCATGAGATGATTGGTTTATCGATTTTAGGTCACAGTACAAACACATTAGGGATGTCTTCAATCTTATGCTTATTTTGTTAATGGTTAGTATTGCAACTTCAAAAGTTCTTATTAATCAGTTTTATTTGCATAATCGTGTTGATTATCGGTGTAAACAATGATGATAGCATTTTACAAACAATTTCATTTCCCTGACGATTCACTGTTGTATTTATTAATAGGCAACTATGTTCATTTTGAATGACATATGATTTAAATATTTAACGATCACTTTATCCTCCTTTCTTCTTGGTTAAATTTTATCGGTCATTAGAACTAACTAGTACAACTACCTCGATCACTTCATTCTGTTATCAAACTCGGTATGAGTTTGGACAAGTTGTTTTGAACTATTTGAGAAGTGTCAGATATATATGCGTATGCTTAAAATTCTTCCTTTTTCATCTCATTTCCAACCGATCATATCTTGTGATTACTTTCATCTTATAAGACTTTTTATCGAGACCACGAACCAGTATAAATTAAATACATATTGAAAATTTGGGAGCACTAGACGGATGTTTCATCCTACTATGAGACTCCTCAGTAGCGCACACCCACGACTCAGAATCGAACAGAGGATTTTCGGTCTTGTACACAGACATTTAATCTTTAGACCAGCGACCGAGCCGAAATCCAGTGGTGTACATGTTTAACTTTAATCAATCCGCGATCATTTATTGTCTTCGGTGATTGATTTCCTCACACCCCACACGGTCGAACTTCATCAGCCGCCCCTTCGCATTAAAACTCCGGAGTTTTTCTCTTGAAGCTAGTCACTGTTGAACACATAGTAATAATGAGTATGGGGTTATGGAGATTCTCGATTGCAAGACCGTGGATAAGCACTGTCTGTGAGTCCCACAATTCACAGCCCCATACTAACAATTACAAGACGTCGTCTTATTCTCTCAATTTTCCTCATAAAAGATTAGTTATTTAGAAACCAAGTGGAAATTTTTGTAGCTGAAACATTTTTTGTATTGAGGATAGGAAATATCCCATCCTATACTGTCAAGATTAATAAAAAACGATGATGTTAGCTTCAGTATAATTATTGTTTCCAAAGAGATCTTTTAAATATGTGCCTTCAGTTCAAGTAATATCGCTTCTACAACACACTAGTTGTACGTTAGGTTTATAGAAACTGTGTGAATGAAATTGATATATTATTGATCACTTCATTTCGACCAATCCGGTAGTGTCATTAGCTTCCACACAGTGTGGTTCGAAGTCGCTTACATAAACACTGAATTTAAATGTTTTCCTGTTCACTTAGATATATATATTTGTCTTTTCTCTGTGGTCTTCAGGTGAAAATCGACAGGCGACCCCCATTAGTACTAGTAGTCCCATTACAACAACTGATTCATCACAAAGTATAATAGCCGCTGTTAAGGAAAGTCAATCTGAAGGTCATACTTCTGCTTTATTATTAGCATTTAGTCTTGGTTTAATTTGTTGTTTCATTGGGCTACTTATTGCTGAATGGAGACGTCGGCAAAAATTGCATTTATGGTCCTCGCATCGTTCAAGACCAGAGCAAGCAATTGTCTTTGGTGATCGAACAAAAATATCCATGCCAAGATTAAAACCATCTCGTCGATTAAAGAAAAATACAACTTATGATCAAGTGAATAAAACTATAACAGGTACAATAGACGAAGAGAAAGCTTTATTCAGTGATTTAGTCCTTTAAATCATTATTGATCTTAAAAAATATATTATGATACATTGCATTTGTATTCGACTTCAGTTTTGAGTCTTTTTTAAAAATTCTCATCATTGTCTAATATTTTATTGAACTCTGTACTCATTTAAACAAACAATACGACCGATTGGTTTTATTCGCGAATTGTTTACTCCATTCAAGTCCGTCTTGCATTTGTTTTAATTTGATGGTATTACTTTTTAATTCATTTTCCGTGCAATATACATTCCTACCGGACAATTTCGATGTTGTGATAATCACCTGTTTTTTTGATATATTTTTACGTTTATTTGCATTGGTTAATCTCTTTATTATCTAGTTTTATTACTATTAATATCAATAGTAATTAACTTGTCAATTCATTCAGTGTTTAGGTATTGTGAGATGCAACGTGAATTTCTTTTAATGAGTTTTGATTATGGTAAAACATATTCTTTGTCTTGGTATTATTTCTATTATTCATCTTGTACTAATTCAGTAAGGCACATTGGGGGAGATAAACATTTGTGCCAAGCCCTACGTTGATTGTGACTGATCCTGTAATCTCGGTGTAGAACACAGATAACACAATTATGTGAAGTACCACCTGTTTTTTTCTTCAAAACACGCATCCCGTTATCTGATGGAGTACATTTAGCACTTAGGATCCATATGACAGTTTTACTTATCATTTTATCAGATGGCGTGCCAATAAACAACTGTGTTGACCAAATACACGTTAATGGCTGACTAGCTAATTTCGTTAGTGTGCTCTTAGATTGGAAAACTAAAAATATATTAAGATACATGTTTAGGCTTCTGCTCACTAAGCAATATGTCAATTGACACTTTATTATTTCTTGATAGATTAGTGTTTATATTAGCGATGACGCTTGAAAGTACCTGGTACACACTCATTACCATTCGCTCATTTAAATTAATGGATACTAACAGACTTCTGTTAGTCGACAAAAAGAAACTTTTCGGTAAGCAATGTTGGTCAATTGCTCTTAGAACATGAATCAAGCTTCTGACATGATGTAGTGGTTAAATGTGAAAACGGGAAAGTTATTTACTTTTACGCCAATAGTTTTTCCATCGTACACCTATTTATTGTGTATGAAACACCAATCAATTTCTATAAGACTAAATAACTTTCACCAGAATCTCAAATTGCATCATTCTATACAGCGCTATCTAATCTTCATGTTTATCATTTGATACGATGTCTTTCTTCTATTAGGAGCGAGAGTAGTGTAGTCAGTGGAATGCGTCATTTCATTTGTGTGTAGGCTGTGATACTGCCCAGGTGCCCAAACCGAAGCAGGTGGTTTTCTTAGGAGGCCACACCCGGAGCCTTTGACTGAAAGATCTGACCCACAAGGCAGTGGAGCATCGTGAGGAGATGCAGTCCCATGGTAGCCGGTGATCAACGATTGATCCGTACGCCATTTGTTCCCTCAGCATACTGGAGCCCATGTGCACCATTGGTTTGGAATTAGGGTTTTCCAACTCCCCTAAGTGGACTCGCCTTGTCCACCAACCCGGTTAAAGCGCCGGACATTCACTTTTCGTCCTCTCAATTTCGTAAACAACAGTAATGCCACGAGTAGGCATTGAGTAGGACTTCCCTGACAGGGGCTATATACGCGTGGCCATGTGAGAGCATTTCGAGAGGGAGAGCGGACTCACTATTTTGTGTGGTGCATATGTATCTGGTGCCCTTTTGTACCAATATGTATGTGTTTAAATAAACAAAAAAATGATACGATGTACCAAACTACAACAATAAATAATATTACAAAATGTCTTTTGGCGACTAAATCAATTTTTCACACCTTAGATTAGAACAATTTATATTTTTCTGCACAGGTGATGATTAATCGATGTAATATAAACTCTCCATTATCTGATTAACCATACAAAATCTATTACTTAACTTGGCTATTTTCCTTATCAATTGTTCTATTACCAACAAACAAAATTCAGTAAACTCTTTTGATATCAGAAATACATTTTGTTTGAAGATATAAATTATTGTAACATAGACAATTTTATTCAAAATATAAATGCAGTGTACTGATGTTTGGGAAAACAGTTACGAGATAATTGTCATATAAAACAAAGTCTCCAGTGAAAAGATTAAACAATACAAGTATAATGTAATAAAGTTGGGTATCTCTATTTAATTCGATACAAAATACGCCTTTGCATTCTATACTGTACTTCACCTCGACGAATCATATAATGTAAAACCTTGGTGACAGCGCGTTCTGAAAACCCCTGCAAACCACACGAATAATAAGAAAAGTTAGTAATTGAATAGAAATAGTTCAATAACATGTGAAAGTGAGAACAAATTCTGTCAGTCAATCGATCAAACTTCATTAGCCATTTTGTAGGCTGAACTTGGTTGTACAAATTCTAAGACTATTTGGATATTAAATATGTTGCTTAGGTTGTTGATAATATGGCTAAGTATTCCTCACAATCCTTAGGGTCGACGACTAGAGCTTTATATGCTGTAAGTGAAGGTATATTACAGTAATGCCAACTGAGACACCTTTTCTGGGATAATATATAATGGTAACTACTAAACTAGCTGGGGGAAATTTGGAGGAAAATCTGTCGAACCTAAATATTATGAATGGCAATGGATATCAAGATTTTAACCGAAAACCAACATAGTCCTATTAACTTTTATATGATAATGAAACTTATTTACACTAAACAAATTATTTCGATGATATAAACCAAAATAAAGAAATACTGGGATATTACATACTTGACGTGTAAAGTCTTGTATGATAGCATATTCTGATACTTGACTGCCAATAACAAATCGCTTTTTCAACTGCTTTTCTAGACGCAGAATAAGTTCATGTTCCTCCTGTGTGGTAAAACCTTCCGCACCTTCTAAGCTTCCAGACATAGCGGCTTCCAACGTTGAGACGTGAAATAGACGTAATGCTTCCTCAACATCTGTTTCAGTTGCAAAGGCAGCTAAACGCATTTTCGCTAAAGACTCAGAAATTCGTATAATTGCTTCAAGTTGTCTGTAAAAAGGTAAATTATTGACCATACGTAGGGTAGATGCATTGAGGTTAATTAATAGAAATGGATGTAACAACATTTGAACTAAATTGGTTACAACTTATTACCCTACATTATTCATTAAAATAACTGTGCGGTAAAACATTGGGAATACCGACTAACTTAATTAAGACTGGCATAATTTATATGGTCTCAATCAGACACCTGAATACTCACCGTACTGTTATAGGAATGGCACATCGTTTACCAGTTTCCTGTTCGTACCGTGTAGAACCAGATCTCATGAGGACATACTGATTCGATAATTTCTCAGCAGCCTGTTCAGATAAACGAGGACCACAGCGCTCACGTGCAAAAGCAATAAAACGTCGGAGAGTACTAAGTGGAATTTCATCCGATGACCCGGTATCCATTGCATTTATTCCAGCAGGATCACTGTAATAGATTGAGTTGAATGACAGACAATCAATCACATTTAAATTGCAACAATTTTAAATCTACCGCCTATAAGAATATTTAAAAAATTATATATTAGTAAATGCAGGGAGATGAGTAGGAAAGTATCAAATGGTGTAGACAAAAAGCAGATTGGTATTTACCTCAGTAGTTTTAAAACACATGAACTATGATGAAGTAGGGATATGGTCAGAAACCTGTAATTTATTCTAAGCATAATTATAATCCGATAGACAGACGTACAGATTGCATGTGACGCTGTTTTTATTTGTGTCAAGATTCTGTTAACGACCAACTCATCATATTATGCGATTGAAAAACTAACAATTTAGAATGAGTGTTAAACGCTAACTGTTAATGTTAATAGATGCTAAGAATAATTACATTTAATGTTCTACGTACACTTACCAACTGATCTCATTTAATGTGTTTAAGTTCAATTGGAAGTTTTATTTTACTTCACTTAATTATTCGTATTTAATAAATAGCCTTATCTTTATAAGTCATTCAGTTAATAACACAATTTTCTATTTCTAACTGCATCTAAGAACCGCAATGTGATTGGTTTTTCTAACCCATTTACTAAAGTGATCTAGATAGTGATATCTGACAAACTGATTCTGAAGAGTTTTTGTTCTGATAGTAGTTTACGTGTGGCGTCACGTGCTTATTTTTATTGCTTTAAGCGGTCATATGAATTTGATACTAGAATACACATTTCCTATGCTTGAGATCAGTCAATTATTTGAATAATAAAACCTAGAAGTGAGTACGAAGGTTTTACTGGCTAACTGGGATCAAATATATGCACATATTCTATCATTAATGTTGACATGTATCTCATGAAAAATTGAGCAAGATTTTTTAACCAGTAGAGTATACTATTTCCTTGGGTTAAATAAAGTTAAATCTTGACTAGTAGCATGTATTTGGATTTGAAATGATGTGATTGGCCCACTCTATCGATTTTTTTCGGTTGATCAGTTGTTATTGATTTTACTGGTCTCCTTACCTTGAACAACTGCAATACACTTGAGTGACTTTCTTCTCATATAAGGAGCAACAATAAGTTGTTATTTTATTTAACTTGGATTTTCGACTAATAAAAACCGCGCTGCTGGTAGTGTACGAAATGCACTATAGTGTTCAGCTTTTAAATTTTATTTGAAATAGAGGATTTATTGGATTCTAGTTCTGAGGTTTCCATATGTCAATTTCATTTAGCCTTAATATTCATGAGAATAGTACAACAAACATTACAATGTTTTATAAATTAAAACATAAATACGTAAGCAAAAGTGAATGGTGACTAGCGGTTTCGTCTTATTTGGGACTCGCCAGTTTGTTGTACAGCACAAAAATGAATAAATGCGTAAGTTATGCTGACTTACTTCCCATGTAGATGTACTTGCATAACATGCTTTGCAAGAGTTGTATCACGTTGAGAATCATGCTCATCACGTATTACAAAAATCATATCGAAACGTGACAAAATTGTTGGCATAAAATCAATATTATCTTCACCTTTCGTATCATCCCAACGACCATAAACACTGTTAGCTGCCGCAAGTACGGAACAACGACTGTTTAGTGTTGTCGTAATGCCAGCCTATGAAAGTTGGAGAAAAACACGTAAAGTGGCTAGGAGTAAAACGATTAATTTTTTTCAGAACACAAAAATCTGGTAAAACAAATATTTGGATACGACATGCAAGCGAAACGATATTATCCTAAGGTAATAAAAAGAAGGCTTTAGAAAATGTATGCCAAGAAAAATAATTCAAGTGCGAATAAAATTAAGGTGGATTTAATCTTTCCCAAAAGTACATATGTGCCCGAGTTTGACCAATATACAAAGTTTAGAACGCTTTGTATGTAAGAGTACTACGACTTCATGAAATAAATATGAATGAGTGGTCGAATATTCAGTCTCTTTAACTGTCAAGAGATAATCAAGTGTTTCATTATAACTGAGATACCTGTAAACAAAGGCAGATAGAGTTGCATAAAATTATATTGATCAAGGAAAAGTTTGTGAAAAGTTCAACAATCCTTCATTCTAAATAACCAATCACAATGAACTCTCAACTGTTTTCTAAACACAAACTGAATATGAGAGTACTATCAAAAGACGTTAAATGATAAGTTCCTCCTATCACATCAATATTATCAAATGCGTATATCTAGGTGGTTGGTTTCATCAAATACGCAATTTATTTTTTAAGAAGACCTATCTGAGATATGTATGGATTGTTTTGAATAACCACTCATTGTATAGCTAATCAAATTAAAGAAAACCTGACATTATTGATCATTCATAACCTGATATGTGGTATCAATAAAAAGGATCATAATAAACGTCAAGAAGTAAGATAAGGAAAAAATAACATTATTTATACTTAAAAAGCACGCTGTTTGAGTCAGCTTAACAATTTTCCCAAAACCAATTTAGTTTAAAATACAGATAGGATATGAAAATAGGAAACAATCACTTATAAATAATAATTTGCCAGCTTAATAAGGTTTAGAGCAAAGGAAATGAATTTTGTTATATAAACGGTTTTATGGAGAATAAACCTCTAGACCACTAAGTCAGCATCCAACGGTTTTGATGCCTAACTAAAACCAATCCACGAAATTGAGCAACCATCCACCATTGTCGTAAACTTACAATAAAACTAGTTTTATGATAAAGATGTATCGATTGGAAAATGAAACAGACTAAATAGTGATTTATAGGTTTCATAAGAAAGACATATGAAGTATATGACCTTGGCAAACATCGTTCTAAACGCGACACACTATTCTACAAGGCGATGGAAAATTCATTCACCTTAATTCAGTTTAAACTTACTTACCAAAGTTTTGTGATGTCAAGCGATTCAAAAAAATTCAATTCAAACTCGATTTCGGTTGGACAGACTAATGTTAAGGATGTAACTTACTTTAGCTATTGAAATAGTTTGTTGTTCCATGGCTTCATGAATTGCAACACGATCATCTTCACGCATTTTGTCAAACTCATCAATACAAACAACACCACCATCAGCAAGTACCATAGCACCACCTTCCATTATGAAATTACGCTGAAAATAGAACGCATATCAGGAATTGAAGTTAAAGATAAAAATCATTGGATGTGAATTTAGTGGTTCAAAGAGATTAAACACTTGACCCAAGAACTGAAGGCCCTAGCTTCTAAATTCAGTGGGGTCATAGAAATCGATTGTTGAAGAGCCAGTTAACAGGACGAAGTCAGTCAGTCAGTCAGCTACAACGTAGGACCAGGCACATATATGCATCGGTACAATTTGCCATACCTCGTTAGCACAGCCAGATGAATACCAAATTCATAGAAGTAGTTAATTTAGTGGTGGTAGTATATAAAGAAAGATTGTATATAAGGATATAGTATAGGAAGGAAAAAAGTTATGAAGCAATTTTAATCTCAAGGTTTAAGGGAAGATAAAGAGTGTATACACCTACGCCATTGTGATCGATTCTAAGCCATGTCACCTAGAGTCTCCAACCATTGGTTACGATAGTCACGCGGACCCCAACCAGGTACTCTGCATCTGCCAACATGGCTGAGACTACAAGTTAGTGACTTCAAACACTGATGCCATGTTTTGGTTTGGCCGCCCCTAACTCTCTTCCAACCATCCCCTATACTAGTCAGCATTGCGCGTCGTGGTAATCGGTGTTCAGGCATACGTAACATGTGGCCCAACCATCTCAGTCGATGAAGATTCACAACCTCATCAACTGATTTACCATCATTTCCTAATACCCTGCGTCGAACCTCAATATTACTTACCCCGTTATCCAAGCAGATGCCAGCAATATTTCTAAGGCATCTGTGGTCAAATACTAGTAACTTACGAGTATCTTCTACTCTTAATGGCCATGTTTCGCAGCCGTAAAGTAGAACAGAGCGAACTGCTGCGCAGTATACTCGTCCCTAAATTGATAGACGGATATCTCGTCTTCGCCATAGGTGACGTTGTGGTGTGGTCTACTTATATCCATATAAGTAGTATATAGTGTTGGTCAGGCATAGAATGTATTTTGGCAGAAGACCGATGAGGAAAGAACTGAAACGAAGCGCAATCAGTAGGAAAATGCACGAACAATGGAATTGGATAAGAAACAGTGAAGATCGAGACTATTGGTTGTTAATTTGCAAATTAACTGTTGATTGTTTGGTTATCAGAATTTATTGAGATAGTCTGTAATTTTTGCTTAAATACATTCGATTGTCCCCAACCAGTGTTCTGTTTACTACAACGTAAGTTGGCAAAAGCCAAACGAGCTTTTTGAATCCGTGCTGAGATTTCGTCAGACACCAACCCATCACGGCTGATCAGACTTCCAAGATAAGTGAAGTTGTCGACGCGTTCGACTACTTCACTCCCTATCCTTAGTTCGGGTGTTGACGCAGGCCAGTCCTGGAGTAACAATTTACATTTGGATGGGGAGAATCGCATCCCAAACATCCTGGCATTATTACTGAGTTCTAACAGAAGACTCTGCATTTTGCCAGCGTCTTCACAAAACAGGACTATGTCATCTGCGTATTCTAAGTCGCTTAGTGGTCCCCCTGGTAGGAGATCAATTCCTGTAAATTCAGTCGACGAGAGTGTTATTTCCAGTAACAGGTCTATAATAAAGTTAAACAAAAATGGGGATAGTGGACAGTCTTGACGGACACCACTTGAGGTTGCAAAATCATATGACAGTTCACCATAAGCTCTCACTCGACTGGTAGTGTTCGAGTAAAGAGCCTTCACAAGGTTTATGTACTTCTCAGGTACACCTTTCAATGACAGACACTGCCATAGAACCTCTCGGTCTACAGAGTCAAATGCTGCTTTCAAGTCAAGAAAAACTATCATTGTCGGACGCCGATAAGCATGTCTGTGCTCTAAATCTTGACGAATGGTGAATATGTGGTCGATATAGCCACGACCAGGTCTGAAGCCAGCCTGATTTTCTCGTGTTTGGAGTTCACGAGTCTTAGTTAGGCGCCCGATAATTATTGAGGCTAGTATTTCATATGCTATGTTAGTCAGACTAATCCTCCTTCTTATATATTGGGACAATCAGAGATTGTGACCAGTCAGATGGGATTATGTCCAACTCCCAGATTTTAACCAGAATATTAATCAACCTAGTCGCTAAAATTGAACCACCATATTTAAAGACCTCTGGAGCCAATCCATCTCGGCCAGCTGCTCTTCCTCGTTTCAGATTAGTTATAGCCTTTTGAACTTCAAGTAGGGTCGGGGGGCCTACTTCAATGTTCCATTCAGGTTTTCTGGGAATAATGGGTAGTTGTGCAGTAGCTGAAGGCCAGCTAAACTGCTACTTAAAGTGTTCCGCCCATCGTTCTAAACGTTTGGGTTGAGAGCAGATAAACTGTTTTAACTCCGATATCCGAATGTAAATCAGAAGTGAATAAATATAGACCTTACGTACATGTATTTATAGTTTTTTAATCAATAAAATACTGACTTAAAAAACAACTTGAATTGATATGCTGTATGACATATGAGTAGGTAGTGAAATAAATATCTGTACTCATAGGTAACAGTCTACAGTCATGGATATATATGGATTTTAATCAAATTTGTGTCGAATGTACAAAAATTTACACAAGTTTGCAGAAAATTTATTGGCTCTGTTTTGATAGTCTCCTTAAAATAAGCAGTTTTCTTTCGAAAGTAATTTGGCTTTATTGAGTTGAGTAAAATATATTGAACAACTTGAAAATAGCTCGTAACAGCCTGTTTGTATTTTACTGTTGATTTTGACATTTCACAGTTATTGAAATAAAATTATTTCGCTCGCGGAAAAAAAGCTGACTAATAAATTCTTAGTTGAAAGCTAGCTAACTTGAAGTCGTGATGTTTTGATAATATTATTGTAAGAAATATGTGCAATCTTGTCGTGTACAAAATTAGTTTATAAAGAAAGCCATGAGGTTACTCAACAAAATTTAGCTTACAGTGTTTGGATCTCGAGTAACAGAAGCCGTCAAACCAGCAGCCGAACTACCTTTACCTGAGGTATATATGCCAACAGGTGAACACCTTTCGACAAATTTTAAAAGTTGAGACTTAGCTGTCCCAGGATCACCTAGCATTAGCATATTTATATCACCACGACGCATAAGTCCATCAGGAAGCCTGGATAAAATAGAAAATTACAAAAGTTGAAAACAAGAACTCTGTGCAAAAATTACTTTAAAAAAAGGCATTATTGAAGAGATTCATAAACTCTCTATGATACATAGACTTGATGTCCGTATACTAATTTAATATTATCAAACAATTTTTGTTCTCTTACTCATTAAGACAGTAGTAATAAACACAGGTAATTATAATAAAGAATTACTGATTCACAATAGCTGAACAAAACTATCTGTTTATTTACTTGAACATATAAATATTGGTACAATGGGGCACCAGATATATATGCGCCACATAATTAATCCATCCTAAAAGTGCTTGTTCTACCCTCATACTTGGTGCTATGCCTACGCCCGCCAGTCCATGAGAACTAGCCATCGGGTCGCCAGATACACGGAGGATGTAACTCGTCGGTTCCTCTTCTGGGTTAGGTGACGTCAAGTGAATGACCACACTAGGATCCTATATGTGTGTTTCGAAGACACAGCATACACCAACGGTACGAGATTCTAGGGTCTCAACCAAGGAGATCCGGTGGTCGATTTGACATATGGTGCGTACATTAAAGGCTCCAATATGTAGTTTGGAGCGACGTTTCAGTAGACCTGGGACAGTGTTGTTGGCCATGGTGACATTTGAGGAGGAAGTTGAAGAAGTTTGGAGTTTGAGGCACGTCGTGGATAATTGTTGTGTTAGCTCTCTACTTGCTGAGACCTAACGGCCGAAGATGGATATCCATGGGATAAGGCGAAGCGTACATTTTTAGGGTCGACCTTTTCAAACCCCACCCTTTCTTTATGGTAAGGCAAAACCGTTGTCACGTTGGTTGTGTGAGGGGAATATCTTACTGTGGTCACAACTCTGTACTGTCAGTATTATGACCTCGCCCTCGAACCTTAGGTTTGCTACTTCTAGTCTTACTGCTCTTCAACCGACCTGTCTGGCATGGTAGGACCTAGCGGAACGACTGTTACAGCCAGTGTAGTCCAAAATGTTCATCACGATGGACAAGCCCTATCACCACACCAAGGTAGCAGAAACGACTGGGTCGATGAATGCAAAACCACGATCGAAGATCTGGATGCACTGGACAATGGATGATGGTCGCACAGTATCGTGGATTGACTGAAGGACTGATAGTCCTGAGTTTGATTCCCGTACGCGGGGTTTCCAGGCTTCCATTGATGGTCTAACATTGATCGGTTTATGATTTCAATGAAATAAGAAAGTGGTGTAATTTTTGAACGGTAATATCCAATAAATATAATATACACATATAAGGTTATGAAAATACTCTAGTTACCGTTTACGTGATCCACCAAACAGAAGGCATGCAATTGCTTTCTTAATATCAGTGCTACCATAGATAGACGGAGCGATACTTCGAGCTAATCTCTCGTAGATATCCGGTGAGTTAGCCAAAGCTATTAATTCTTCTTCTTCATTCTCTGTTAAAGTTGCAGCTGCACCTGTTCCTTCACCGGCACCAGATACGAACGCACTACGCCCAGGGCCTTCTGTATCAACGGTTAAACCTAAAACACGTATATATGGCTGACGAACACCTGCATTTGAACGTTCGTTTGCGCCTGCGCGCTGTTTAGAATGAGAAAGAATAAAAGCGTATCAGTCACAGCACGACGTAACTAAAATGATAAAATTGCTGATAGCTGGTTGTAAGAATTATCGACAACTTTCAGCTCAACACAATATTTTCCAGGTTGAACTTGTTGAGTTATTGGGTCGCGGTTGCTTTTTGTACGCAATAATCAAAACCCATAATTGATAAAGATTAGTAAATTAGTGTTTAGAATCAATGATATAAATAGGTGCAATAGTTGATGATCAAGAAAGTCAAACTAGAGAACGATCATTTTCTATTCGGTGGATTAATCCACATATTGATTTGAAAGCTATTTATAGAATCCACTAACACCTACCAAGATTTCTTAGCATTCAAATCCTTAAAACAGCAGGTCTTATTATTTACGAAATGTAGGCTGAACTTTGGGCACAAAAGTGTCTTATCCTTGTCCTTAATGTACTATTATTGTTTTATTTCCACAGGAAATTCCCACTCTTTGATTACTTCAGAAATGTCCATAATTTTACTCACTTCATCCCTTCACAACATTTGATTATGGTGACAAAAATGTTTTAATTATCTTTCTCTATTCGCACTACAATCCAATGTTGGCTTATTTATTTTATATGCGGTCCTATTTTCAAGCATCGCATAGAAGGCATACAGCCTTTTATTGTCATTATTTGCAATATATGTCCTGGTATTATGATCTTTGTGTGACATTATGTTTGTTCGCTGTTTACTTTTCCTTACGGAATTAATATATATATATATGTATATATAAATTTTTATACCATACTATTAAGATGAAGTATGAGAATATAATAACAGTTTCGACGGTAATCATAAAATTCAGCAATCCTAGGGATCTCTATCAAACAACAGGAAATCCAAAGACGATAATCTTAGAAGAAATCCTTAGAAACTTAGTTTAAAGGCTTTTATGAAATAGATAAATTCATATTTTTGTCAGATACTCAGATAACAGCGATATATAGAAGGATTCGTCTTATATTTACCATGATGAAAAAAAACACATCCTGACTCAAACCAGAAAACTATTTAGAAAGCCTACCTTATTGGAGACGGTCACGCGAATACAGTACACACCTACAACGGTTATACGATTACCAGGGACGACTCGCTCACAAAGATATCTGTTGAGAAAAGTATGAGTAAATGTGGGCTGGAAGTATGAAGAATCATGGAATATGTCAAAAAAAAACGTTATAAAATACACATTACGACGGTGATTTTTGGCCCAGATGGATGATCTTGATGTAGTTTCGTCCTCCAAGCAGGACGATTTAGTCATGAAGTCTTCATTATTTTTCTGGACAACATAAGTTTTTCGACTTTTAGGCATGCAGGCACCAATCATCTTGATGAATCGTGACGACTAGTTTATATTAACGTTAATGTTGACGCTAAACAGACTAACCGAACTTGTGGACTGAGTACCAAATATATTTTATACCATTAACATAAGTACTTCAATTTATAACCTTTATGAAGGCCATAATTCAATGAAAGTTTACAAGAGAAAACAACTGGATAAGAACAATCACACAAAACTAAATCTTATTGAGTACCTATTAGTAAAGCAGCTGCCTATATATATATATACGAAAGGTGTGAAAATTACCTATCACAATAGAGCAAAACGTGACGAGGCATTTCTCCATGTGGGACAGTTTCAGGTGTTTCTTGAAGCTTAATTGTTTGGAAGTCAACACAATCACACTTGTCAGGGACTATGAAGAAAGGGTCAATTGGACATCTAGTAGCCTGTCCTCCACCAACTTGGGCACTTGGACACTTGCGAGGTAGTGTAAAGCCTTCTAACCCCGGCTTCACAGGGAGATTTGGAAGGAATTGGCGGCAACCTCGACATTGTAAGCTTAGACGTACGGCCTGACAATTAAAAAATGAGTTGAACGATTCATTACCTTTGCACGTATACTTGATGAACTGATGGCGATACCTGATATCTTGACTAACCTAGAAACTTCATCTGAATGTACATCTCTGAGGCTGACAGCATTACTGTCCCACTCGAATAACACCTGGGCAGATTCTGTATGACTTTCTTCATCATTTGAACGAACAAGCTCGGTTGCTACTTCCGTCACAGCTTCTTCAAACTGGAAAAAATGTTATTTGACATGCATGCATACCGCTGGTAAATAATCACTTGGGCGGTGAATAAGTTCCTGAGTCAGAGAAGAGTCATAATTATTAAGGTCTCTTAGTTTGACAACGATGAAATATTTTTTTAACCCATAGTTCTTTTTAATTTGGTCCCTGAGAGCATTAATAATTATATAACACATGCCTATATTTAAAATCGAAACCACCATCGTTGAACTGGCGAACAAACTCCTTGAACTTTCGCTTAGCAAATTGGAGGTTCGCTGAGTTGTCTTGATCTCTTGTTTGTTGAAAAAGGGAATCAGAGAAATAGACAGCACCCTGATCGAATCCCGACATTTGAAGATTTTTGATAACTGGCGGTTTTGTTTCTCAACTTACACTTGGAGTCATTTAAACAAAATCGTGGTTTGTTGCATTTTGCCGTTTTAACCAGACTAAATTTGAAGAAATCCAATTTAATCTAAAATGTTAGCATATCATATCATCTACATGAATTGGTTGAGGAATATACATAAGATTTTGTCTTGAAGCTTTTAAAAACAATAAATTCACATTCTCAGGTAAATTAAGGCTCAATGTTTTTAGATAAATACAGTAAAGACGCCACGGGTATTGTAGTTTGGCAACACTTTAAACAGTAACACCTCATATAATTGAATCGTGCCCACCCAGTGAAATCAAAAGTCAGGAGCGAGGAGCTTCGAAGATATATTTAATATCAGAAGGGGTTTTGTGGAGATTTTGGTAATTTTATAGAGTTGAGATCGTGAGTCAATTTAAGCTAGACCGCCAGTGCTTCCAGGTTTTCCATGGTGGTCTAACTTCAATTGACTCACGATCTCAACTCTATAAAATATATTTAATAGGTTATCAGTATATCGAGAAGTGACTGACCTAAACTGGCTAGCGGTCGCAGGAAAAGTTGTGCACGGCGTTCAAACTCATGATCTGGTGCGGATGCATGGTCGAGCTTACTGAGCTAGGTGAGTCCATCAAAACTGATGTGATAAGCGTCCAACGTTGAACACCTACAGAACTATTGATTTCTGGGATTTATTTATCGCTACAGATCACTCCCCTCTAGTGGGGTGGTGATGACCCTACGACTAGGTCAGCCAGAAGCTTAAACCCAACAAGTTTGTCGTTGGTAAACACTCTTCTAATAGTTTGTTTTCTTTAGCAGAGTCTGGCCGTCTTTCCTTGAAGTACAATAAAGTAATAAGGAAGCAAAGTACAATCAAAATTTCGATTCTTCGTCAATTCCGTCGTTACTTTCATCGTCTTTTACAGCCGTCCTGGAAAAGAAAAAATAGTGTATGTAACTGCGCAAAGACACAAAGCGGGCGAAAAAAGCTAAGAAAACTCATACATCTGCGATAGAGTGAAGATGGCTTTTAAAAAACTGTGTTTTTCGGGTTGTATTTTTTAGGGAAAAAAATTAAACATACATATATTTAGAAAAAAAGTTTTTTTCGGAATAAGTATATAAGCATAAGGATATAAAATATTTTTTTAACATATATAGTACAAATGAAAATCGAGATATGTTATCTGGTGTCTTACGTGTAATAGTCGTTTAAATGTTCTGGAGATCTTAATATTCTTCCAGAACGCGTCGTTTTTACTTCATTTTCAGATACTGACGAAGTATCAACATGACTGTTGGCTGTCCGATGATGTGTTATAAGTGTATGAGCCGTGTCGTTTGATTGTACCGAAGGAAAATCAACATGGATAGGATTTCCCTCTAAATGCGTTGCTTTGATTTAATCGATGCTGATGCTATCATTAGTTCCGTTCTTATCGAACATATAATACTTAGGTTTGCGCTGAAGAACTTTGAAGGGTCTTTCGTATGCTGATTCGAGAAGTAGTCAATGTGAATCTCGAAGTACGAAGACGTGTGTACTATATGGTAAGTCAGGTTGAACGAAAACATCAGTCAATTGCGATCTAGTGGAGACAGGTTTAACTGAACGTATTACGTTTATAAGCCTGCTCGTCTAGAAGTTTAGATCCATGTTCATTGAAGAAAATGAAGGATCGACAAATTCTCCTGGAAGTCCAAGTGCATTCCATAAACGAGTTGAGTTGCACTGTATCCAATGTCAGAAATCACTGCATTGCGTATACCAAGTAGGACAATTGGAAGGGCGTCGGTCCACTGTGAAACGTTCGCAGCTGATAGCGAAGCTTTTAGTTGTCAGTGAAAGCGCTCTACCAACCCGTTTGCTTGTGGGTGGTAGGCGGTCGTTTGGAAGCGAGTGATTCTTAATAGTATAGTCAGACAACGGAAAAGTCCAGATTCTGACTGGCGTCCGCGGTCTGCAATGATAGTTGAAGGGCAGTGGAAATTTGCTACCCATCGTTCGACGAATGCTCGAGCCACTGTTTCAGCAGCAATGTCCTTAATATGCACTGCTTCTGGCCATCGAGTGAAATGGTCTACGTATATTAAGAGATAAAAGTATCCATTTGTATCCAGTAAATATCCTACTAAATATCCTAAGTCCGGATGAACATGGTCGAAATGAGCATCATGGGTTTTGAAGGAGCATAAGAGATATCTTTTGTATCTAATCACCTTAAATTTCTGGCAGCTCATCAGGCCAGCGAAACCGTTCTGCTATAAGCTTGATGGAGGCACGAACACATGGATGAGAAAATTTGTGCAACGTATTGAAGACGTTGCGTCGATAATGTTTTCGTACGATTGGACGATCCCTAACTGTAGATGTGTCACATAGTAAGGTTTCATTACCTGTTCCCATCTGTTTAGTACGCAGTTTAAAGGTTGTCGAGGATAACTCGTTCTGAAGATCAGTGTTTTCTTTTTGAAGCTGAGTGAGTTTCAGAATGTCGAATCCTTGGAAAATGTTCAAGGAAGTTATACGAGACAAAGCGTCTGCGACTACATTGTTTGCTCCAGAAATGTGTTGTATATCTGGAGTAAATTGCGAAATGTAGTCCAGTTGCGGAGACTCTCGGGGTGAGTACTTATCTGAGGATGAGCTTGAAGAGAAGGTAGGAGGTTTATGATCGGTAAAAAGTGTGAATTCTCTTCCTTCAATGGAATGTTGGAAATGTCGCACAGCACAATGCATAGCTAGGAGTTCCCTACCAAAAATGCTGTACCTCAATTCAGTGTCTAGCAACCGTCTCGAGAGTGGTTAACCCATTGTTGTAAGACTCCTCCGATTGCTGAGTCGGATGCGTCTACTGCGAAACCAATGGGCGCTTGAGTGTTCTGATGTGCCAGCATGGTTGCTTTCGCGATAAATTCCTTAACCGTGGAGAATGCATTTTGCGTGGTGTCATCCAGATTAATGGATTTCACATTTCCACGAAGTTGGTCGGTTAGTGGTTTCATAAGGGATACGCGTTTCGGCATGAACCGTCAGATAGAAGTCTTTATATCAGTCATTTAAGAAAAATTTTGTATGTGGTAACATTAGTTTAAGTTAGACTGATAAATTTTCTGTTGTTATAACGTAGAAATAACCGTACTATTTAACTGGGCTGTAAATACAATTGCAATCCTAAATATATTTCAATCCTACATCGGAAAGACACTGATAACGAAATATTCATTGGCATTTTCGAAATAGCCACCTTGTGGTGTGTGCCATTGATATCGTCAGATATTTGTAGTATACACCATCAATTGAAAGTGAAATGCCTGGAGGCAGAAGGTTAGGAAGGTCAAAGAAAAGAGAACTGTTACAAAGAACGATTGGTAGGGAAAAGAAAGAATAATGAAATTTGAGACGATTGACTCACATTTTGCGGATCAAAAATATACTGTACGGTTCTCAGATTTTACTAAGTGTTATAATTGTATTTTTGCTATATAAACGACCCAGCTATTCCTATTGCTTAGTATTCTTATACGATGACACTCGACAAGACCCCAAAATCAGAACACGTTGAACAGGAATGAAATTGTATTCAAAATAATAATGATAAGTGAACAGCAATCACTAGTTTAAATAACGTTCATAAATTTATAGTATATACATAAGAAGCTAACAGATTTTTCTGCAATAATATGCCCGGGCTGATCGGTTTAGAATTAACCAATCAGCGCGTAGCAACACCATCATGCATAAAACATGCTTAATCCAATCTATATCCCACTAACATCTCCCCCTTGAGCAGATTCGTAGGATCTGGTGTTAGGGTCCAACTGCAACCGCTTTGCTGGTTTGTGCTTCCGGTTAGTCCACCTTCTAGGTAATAAGGACATTGTATCATCCTTCGTTTGCACCTTGACTGTCCTGTCTGTTTCAGGTGTTTTGATCTCAAAGGTGTCTAGCAGAACATCAAGAGGTAATCTATGCTGCGTTTCGTTGTTGGAAATCGAGGTTGATTTCAGTTGGTTAGCATGACGCACCCAGATTTCTGAACCAACGGACACCTCGTAAACCACATTTCCTTTCTTTTGCACGATCCGACCAGCTATCCATGTAGGATGTTTTCCTCGATAGTCAATAGCAAGTACCTTTTGACCCACGCTGAACAACTGTTTTTGTGCCCCATGATGACTATTGTACTGTTTCTCCATCATCACGTTTCTTTGCTGCTTAGGAGCTGGAGTCGGACGAATGCTGTCAAAATGTGTGCGTATTTTTCTGCAAGTAACGCTTCCGCAGAGGAGACTCCATTTGTTGTCTGAGGGTTCGCTGTCGAACGGTGTATAAACAAGAACCTCTCTAAGATCTCTTCGGTGTCCCCCTCCCCTCTTGATTTTTTTAGAGCATTTTTGAACGTACCAACAAAACGTTCTACCTGGCCATTCGATTGCGGATGGAATGGAGGTGTTCGGATGAGCCTGATTCCGTTCTGCTGACAAAATTCTGAAAAGTCTTTTCCGACTTCACCTGACGACACTGGAATGTTTCGGATTGCCGATGCTGCTACACTCCGTATGTCTGGAACCTTTTTACCTGTCTTTATTGCATATGAAGTGGTGTCTAATGATGGACACTACACGTTACACACGCTGTTGATGGGTATATCCATTAATCCAAGCTTTTCTAACATACCTAGACCAAGTAGATCAAGGTTTGGTCGTTCTGTTAAGTAACATACCACTTTACAGTTATTTCCATTGAAGGAAAATTCACATTGTAATTCGCCAACTAGTTTTAGTACGCCCCCAAATACATTTCTAGCCGTTTTATCCGATGGCTTCATTGGCGGCTTTCCCAGCAAGTTATACGTCTCTCTAGACACTAGAGTAATATCGGATGCTGTGTCAATTTGAAGGCGAACAGCTATACCATTAATCTGGATCGTAACATACTTTCTTCGAATGTCATAGTCTGTTTGGAAAGCTGCTACCAAAGAAAGAGATTTAGACTCAGCTGATTTCACCACACGTGGAAAATGTTTATACTTCTTCTTGGGCTGGGACGTACGATTCGGCGGACGATTGCCTTCTTTATGTCTACGTCTGTT